ATGTTTAACCCTTTAATTCCCAAGATCTGATTGTTAACTCTTCCCTCCAGCTGCGACGCATTTCCTTGTAAATAAGTGACCAGAGGTTGGTGTTAGATCAAGATAACAACTTCTACCTGATACATTTGAGAATTCTCGTTACCTTTTTGCCCCGATAGTGCATGGATTATGTAGGGAGAAGTAGCATGTGAATCACTTCAGGGAGTTAATTTTATTTTAAGTGAATTTTAAACTGAAGAGAATGCTTGAAAATAGAAATTTGCTCATGCATAGAAGAACTATCTGTGGTAAGAGGACATACTTTTCTTCGTTCATCTAAAAAATCATCTTTCCTCAAGCTCAGAGGACAGTGAGAGTGAATGAGAATGATAGTGACTATATTGAGTAATTATACAGAGAAGGATTAAAATTTAGATATGGTCTGCCCAACTCTCTTATTTTGATTTTCTAACCAATAAAGCTAAGATATTTATGCTCTTGCTTTGTGCATTATGCGGTCACATATCTTGTGACCAATTCCTTATATCAATGTTTATTTTGGGTACGAGAATTCGTAGGAAACACCATGCACTATTGAAAGCTTGATAGAGATTATTTAATGCGATCTAAATAATAATGTTACATGTTTCAATGTGGTTACCTACACAGAAAAATCATATAATCACACAATTCCAAACAAAGGAAGTCGGTTATAGTCTCACCTGCTTCAACTTCTGAGGGCTTAAGGTACAGAGAAACAGATACGGTAAACAGTTACATTTAATACAAAGTTGAAAGTTTGAAGCTGAAAGATACACATAAAAATCATCAAACCTTATGCATCCTGGCAAAAATAGGGTCAATTACCACCATAACTCCCCCCAACCATTCATGCTTACAGGAAATCATCAAAAATTGTCATAAGGTGGTATTGTATTCACAATAGCTCTACCAAATGGACACAAATACATTTTTTTAAAGTTATCTCACAGCATATGACTGTACAGGTCATGTGGAAGGTTCCTGCATGGGGACTGACATTTTAATTACCTTAATTAGCAAACTGTAATTATCCAAATTGCAGGCCAAGGTGTATTTACCGAGAGCTCAGTTTCCAAATTAGTCCCTAATTGTTACAATCAAGTTCACTCCTTTTTGAGGCTTCAGCTTTATCATGCTGTCTCATGTGAAAACATCAAATGTTACTCACATAATTAAATAATTACTTTAATCAAAAGTTTTAATTTCTTTAAAAACCTGCCTCCTTTAATTGTGCTCCAGATACAGTAGAAAATGTAGAGAAATGAAGAAAGTTCTTGAAACATTCTATGTTAAATGAAAAATTTGTTATGCATGTTAATTGCGTAAGCAATGAAAACATCTGTGAAGCTACAATAAGATTTACCTTTCCATGTAAACAAACCATAATGATGCATGATATGAAAAAATTTAATCTCACCCAGTTTGAATGTAGAATCCAAAATCTTAACAACATGCTGAAAAACTAGGCAAACCATACAACTGATTCAATTTTATTTGATCAAAAACATGAAGGGAAGTAGAGGAAATTAGTTGGTACAATTCAAATTTCCCTTCTTAAGTATTCTGTGATCTTTTTTCTATCACAAGGCAAAGTTTACAGTTTCCCTCATTTCACTGTCTTCTGTTCCTTTGTTTGTTTACTTTCCTAAACATCTTGACTATTTTTGCCAACAAATGCGAGGAGCATATAAAATGCGTACAGTTATTAAAGACTTCATGTAATCAGTTTTATAAATGTAGAGTATTGCTTAAATATAAGATTGCGTTAAGTGCAAGTGCCTAGTAAACATCATTCTATGGTCTTCCAGTCTTCCACCTTGGAGGGTTCCCTGTGTACATAAAAATTGAAGTTCAGAGCCTTTAGTAGCTTTTTTGGCTACAAAGATCAACAAAGAATAACAGCCATACCAAAAAATATTCTTAAAGACTCCTCTTCACCTCTTCATTGATAGGTATACACAACTGACATGCACGAGTGAACCGTATCAAGCATTAAGGTATAATTGTTAATTTGCTTTTCATTAGTTGCAACAGCTTATTTCTAGCAGCTTTGAAAACTTCCATATCTCCATTAAAAAAAAAAATCATTTCCCACAAAAATTTAAACATTAAACATGTATTAAGCTGCCAGCAATAGGTTTTTCCATTGTAAGTGTTTCCTAAGACCAGATTCTCATCACAATTTTTTTTTTACATATTTTGAAAGCATCAGTACATTTAATCATCGTAATACAATGGAATCCCCTATCTTAAGACACATATGGTAGTCCTATGTACGAGAGAGACAGCAGATATAAAATTTTACTCCAGTAAAGTGTTCTTATGTACAGTGAAGTTTAAAATTCATTGAAATTAACATGACTTCATGATTCAGATTTTAGGTAAAGAAATGGGTAATGCCTCCTTATAAGGACGAAAAGGGAATGCCATTTATAAATTTTAAAACGATAAATGCAAAAAAATTAAAGATGGAATTTTAAAAAAACTTCTAAGATATGGCATATCTATTCACTGAGATTTTAATCTTAAGCTGGCAGACAGAGATGTAAAAGAGGCTTTGTGAAAAAAACCAGAGCAATAAAATTAAAGATTCAGGAGAAGCATGTGACATTTACTAGTTTACTTTTCTTCTCACTTGAGTTCAATCTGGAAAGAGAACTCTGCAACATTTCTGTTTAAGGTAGAAATAAGAGAGATAGTAAGTTTTGAGCTTGGTAAAGAAATAAAGAAAGATTTTTTCGTCTTTCTTTACTTCTGTTTTATCTTCTCAAATATGAATTGAAACATAAAATTTAATTATTTGCAGGCAGGTTAATAACGGTAATAATATTAAGTGGAGTTCAATTCGGTCTATAATCATACGAGTGATTGACAAAATCGGACGACTGCGAAGCGGGAGTCCGATTTGTCAATCACGGATTGACAAAGACAGAATTGGGCGACACAAAGTCCTGTTACCAATTAATCACAACCATTACAACTTCCGAAAAAAAAATTAGGACAAACATCTCCAGTAGAGACAATGTCTAGAGCAAGAATTTTGGAAATTTCCCAGTTTTTTTTAGGGCAAGTGGTTGTTGCTATGGTTATTGTGATCAATTCTGTGATTGGTGGATTTAGCTGAATGGAAGTATGATTGGGTGTCTTATTACAGCCAATTGTCCGATTTAACACTGTCCGATTTAACACTGTCCGATTACAACTGTATCGAGTGATTAGTGAAATATACAGCAGATGATGCACCAATCATATTTGAAGAAATTGTAATGGTCATGACTAGGGAGGAAATTACAGGAGTGGATATATGTTACATAAAAAGAAACCGTTAAATAAAATAAAGCAGAAGCATATCACCTACATGTCTATGCTTCTGAATAGAGCTACATGTATAATAGGTTTTTTTTATAAGGAATTATTTACATATGTAAACCGGGTGTAATATAAGTTTAGTACCTCCCTAGTCGTAAGCCGGGCTTTTAGGGCCACAAAATAATAAAATAATCAACAATTTATGCCAGGCCAGGTTATCGAGAGTCAATTAAGTATAGTTTCCCAAAATCGTAGAGAAAGTTTCAAATGTGCTTCACTTGCGCTACATAATATGATCTAGGGATTTATCGTTCTTAATTACTAATAAAATTCGGAGGGTTTGACCCACTTAATTCGACAGTGTTGGTCAAATGACTTCTTTTTCTTTTGAAAGGTCATGTGATGATTGGTTAATTTTACTGGCGACTCGCAATGGAAAGGGGAGAAAATTGCGAGAACGGGCAGACTTGGCGAATGCCTGCGAATTTAATCGCTGATATCTGACATTCCAGATATATGCGATTTTATACGCTGATCACGGCGATCGGCGAAAATTGCAATCGCTGCACCGGGCACACCAGGCGATTTTCGCGCATCGCCGCGATCTGTGTATAAAATCGCTAAGTGGGTTACCAGCTTAACGCGGCTTCACATCTACTAGCCCTTGAGCAGCCCTCGTGCACACGGTAAGGTGCACCAAAACTCGGCACTCGAGTATGCGCACTTCATAGTCATCTGCTGGTGTCTCTGGCGCAGAGCTGGTGCACACTAATGGTGTCCAAATTACGCACGCAATCACGCCTGCGCATTACCTTCTCCTTCGCCCTTCCATCACATAATGGCTAAGAAAATGCCTGCAATGTAGTTGGCTGCGCATTCTTAAAGTAGCACCTTGTACGGTCGGTCGTGCGGTCGTAAGTCCAAATTTCTTCGGCTTGACGGGTTACTCTTATTTCCTGTAATAATGGGGCAACGCTGCACGCGCTGTGAGCTCCGCGATTATCAAAATGATTTTCGTTATTAAGCTAAGGCTTCACGAAGGGAGGTACTCGTCAGCGATAATTTGGCTTTGCCTTTGACTTTCTTTAATTTCGTTCGGTGAAAGCTCTCAAAATTTTCATTTCAAGGAAACGCGATAAATCTTACTCGGAAGATCCCTATTTTCTTTGTCGCAAAACACTTCGCAATGGAATAGAACTTCGACAAGGTCTATATCTGAGCATGCGTAAACTTTTGAATCTGTCGCGATCTGTCACCTTTTGGCAATTTTTCCCACAGTGTTTTCTTTTCGTTTGCCCTTTTTTCAGGCGTAGAAGGCCTATGAATATCACAGGTGCAGTCGCTGGAAACCCTAGATTCCATCACATAAAAATTGTATTGGGTTGAACTCTTTTAAGCACACCTTTTCAGGCAACCATCGCACGATCGTATCGACCTGTCATGTTTGTTTTGCATATTGACACTTTCAAAGCTCGCGCTATTTTCGCACCCAGATCTCCCGCGGCTAAAAACTCTGTGTAGCTTCTTTAAGTCAATTTATTATGACAAAGCTTAATATTTGATTCAAAATGTTTTTCCTTGGTTTCAGCGTTCATCTTATCAACGTAAATCCGCGTTAATCTTCTAAGCGGAAAAAAGGATCCAACTATAGCTTAAGCAGTAAGAGCAACATGGCGGCTACCGCACCAACAGGTGCATCACATGAAGTCCTTCATACAACTCACAAGAAAGCAAACTTCCAGCGGATTGCGAGACTATTAGTGGCTGGAGGCACAGCCCTAATGCGAGAAATATTTGATCAGTATTTCAACACACCGCTTCAGTTTCATCTCAAGCTAAACGTTCCTTTCGTTAAGAACAAGATTAAGAGGGCAAAACTTACCAAGCCACAAATGGACTGCCTTTATCCAAAAACTGGAACATGTAATAAAAATTCGAAAGACTTCGACATCAGCCTCCTTCACAAACTATTTAAAACAATTTGTAACCTTAATCCATCAGCATCTGGGTGGGATGCCTTTCCACCACCAACAGACCACTCTAAAGCTGCCGATTTGACAAGAATTAAACAATACCGCAACAAAATTTTCCATGACTACTCTGACATGGAAATGGATGACACCGAGTTTAATTCGCTATGGAACGACATTCGGGAGGCCCTTTTGAGAGTAGCACGCTCGATTAGTCCTTCAACTAGAAGTGCATGGGAAAGAGCGATTGAAAAATTATATACAGCTCCGCTAACGCCTGAGGATGAGAGTAAAGTTAGAGAGTTGAAAAAAATGTACGAAAATGAAGTAAGAAGCAAAGAGGAAATAAAGAATATTGAAAAGGCTCTTCAAGTGGGACTTGATAGTGTACACCAGGCCATTAAAAGGACTGGTGATGATGTTCACCAGGCGATGCAAAAAGGTTTCAGCGGTTTACATCACGCCATCAAAGAGACCATGATGAAAAACGTTCATGCCATCGTCGAAAAGGAGAATGATTCAGGGACATCACCGCAGTTAACAGAGAGCGCTCTCGTCGGAAGGGCGCAAAATGGTAACTTCCCAGCTAAGGGATGGGCACCTGCACTAAACAAGCCATCTACATTAGGCACTGATCCACATTTACCCGAAGCAGGACTATCGACTCCACCAGAAAGAATGTTAACGGCGACATTAACCCCAAGTGAGTTCATAAAGGCCAATTGTCCTTAAAACACATGTATTACTGTATTACACGTTTGATTTTCGAATTCTTAAATTAACTAAGTCGATACAGGGTACCCCTCTTGCAAAAATTTTTCCCGATTACCATCAAATAATTCATTTATGTAACATTTTCTGTGTTAAGATTCCCGAGAAATTGCAAAATTCAAGCAATTTCTGCTCAAAGAAGTCAAAGATGCACCATCCATTTTACGGTTAAATTTAGACTGGCTAGAGGGTTTTTCCTGCACAATTGATAGCAGGAACTTCAGATTTTGTAATTTTGGCAGTTGGCGCTTTTCTTGGTAATCTTTAAGATCCGCTCCACATGTATAGATCCCTGAAACACACGAATATTTTATAAAGCACGAATATTTTACAAAACTACTCCTGAAAGACCAGGAGTAAGAATATGACATGGATTACCTTATGAATATCGCCGGGGATCCAGATTTTTGGTTTTATTTACCCTCCCTTGTTCATATTAACTTGCATTTTACTTTACACGCCCCAAATTAAAACATTATAAGAATACAAAGTAAAAAGATGGTGCTTCTTAGAGAAGGTTTCACAATCATAACCTATTGATAAAAATAATATATATGTCTAGTATCATTCTCTATTTTCTTTTTCATCTTAAAGTTACTGGTTCAGGATCACGACAGTTACAAGAAGTAGACAAAGTACGGGACTTAGGAGAGCTTTGCAAGATTGCAGCTGCTGTTGGTGTGAAAACAGAAAATCTCGAAACAATAAAAGAAATACAGGAAAAACTTCATGAACACATCGAAGAAAAACGTCAGGAATCGAGGAAGGCAAGTTTAGTCGAGTGATATGTGGGACTGTCCATGTATGATGACCTTCCATCACAAAATGACGGTATTAAATAAAGATAAAATAGGACGTCTCATCTTCTTTGTTTCAAACCTTCGCGTTGTATCTTAACGACAAAACAGTCATTATGTATCAAAGACATTTAAGGTGTAACAAGGAATTGACAGCTACGAGAACAGAGTGTTCGACGCTGGCTTTTTCCCATTGTTTTCTTCTTTCCACACGTATTTCCTACATGTATCTATTGCCAGTCTATGTTTAACAATTGGTTCATACGTCACCGTGCGTTCATGGCATATGAAGCACGCGGGAAGTTTGGAGAGTACGAAGCTTCTACCTTCTTGAGTGCTCTCCAAACTTCCCAAGTGCTTCATATCTCGATGAACGCACAGCTGACGTATGGACCAATTGTTTTATAACATTTTCAACCCGATGGAAAATTTTTTCTCTCAAAGGATTTGTTTGCCTAAGTCATGAGCGTGCACAATAGTAATATGAAGCACGCTCGTGCAATTGAATTTGATTAGACAAATTTACTAGCTATGCCATAATCATATATGATTTATAAAGAGAAGACTTACGAATGCATGAAGCTATTTTCTCGGTTGCATTTTAAAGTAAACTTTACCAAATTTAAGCATTTTTTATCGTCAATATTATTTATAATTTATTTTCTCATTTATTATACTTATATTCTACTTAGGAGAAGGCGTGGGAATTAAGTTGTTTTGTAGTTGGAATTTAATCTAAATACTTATTATTATCAATATCATTAATATTTGTTTATTAATTTATCACAATTAGGATCTAGATTAAAAGAAAAAATGTAAAACGTATGGAAATATACCTTAAAATGTGTTATTTTGTTGTCTTTTACATCGAGACGTTTTGATTTCAATTTTTCCTTTTAGACGTTTGAAGTGATCTCCGAAGCTGGTAAAGCCGATGAACACAAACGAAGTGAGCTTCTACGTCTTTACATTGAAACGAGAGAAATACTAAACCAGCTCGATGATGAATTCATAAATCCTCTTGAAACAAGTTTGGGAGATATCAAAACGGCTCTAGAAGAAAACATCAGAAGTCTTGCGCCAAGGGATCAGTATGTGGTGCTTGTTGCAGGTAGGAATTTAGAGGACTGAGGGATTTCATGGATATATTTGTATAGGCAAATATTAGAATTACAAGTCTTTTCTCTAAGCATTTCATGTTTCCACGGAATTTTTAATCTTCAGGTGAGACTAGTGCTGGCAAGAGTAGTGTTATCAACCTAATACTTGGCGAAGAGATTTTACCAAGTGCCGTTTTGGGTACAACATCGACAATGTTCGAGCTCAAGTATGATAAAACCCCCATGGTTGTCATACATTTTAACGATTCTCGTGAAACTATGTATTACAAATTAGTTGGTCCTAAAGAGTCCTTCCAGGAGCAGATAAATAGTCTTGTGAGTGAAAAGAATGAACGTGGGAGAGTATCTCCTTACAAGAAGATCGAGCTGTTTTTGCCGCATCCGTTGTTCCAGGTTTGTTATTTTTGAGTACGCCCTAAATTTGCAAATCTTATTTTCTTCTCTCTGAATTTTTGTGATTCATGGTCAATCAATATGACAGCTTCTTCTTTTTGATCAGTGTTGGAGAGAAGGTGACAGGGTTGATTCTTTTTCTTTAAAATCTATTGCATTATTTTATTTGCAAAGTTACCTTCGAATAAATTTGTCTCTCGAACAAGTTATTTCTAAAATCATACCTGGCAAAAATCAACCGCTTATCCGTCTCTAGAACGAAGTAAGAGGAACCAATTGAGAGGATATCTACCACACCTTTTGGTTCCATCCTTCCAACGCAAGATATTTCCAATGCAAAAAAAACATATTTCCGTATTGGAAACAACTGTACCCGAGGCCTTGGATACCGCCTGAGCCGTAGGCTGAGATGGGTGCTTGAGACAGAGGGCGCATTTTTTCCCAATGCGGACCGACTTGGGATGGTGAATGTAGTTTCAATTTTTTTTTCTTCAACTTAACAAAAGATTATAAAAAAAGAACCCGTCTTATTGAGGGCTGTAATTACGGCACCTTCGTCCTCGTCTGTTTGTTCAGTTGTTTGCGTAAATGGCGTGTGTAAATCTTGTATTTCTTCAGACGAAAAAATGTAGTCAAATGAAGGACCTTTTTGCTCATCAATTTCCTTCGGTTTCCATGGTGCAACTTTAAGTAGAAAAGACCAAATTCAAGAGAAATGCAAAGACGTAGTGAAAGTGTATATGTGTGGCAGAATTCAAAACTATACTCAGCGTTTTACAACGAACATAATTTTCTTTATCATGAGGTATGTTTTCCTCTTCAGGGTGAAAAAATGCGCTTTTGTTTTCAACTGAAAACTTTTTCTGTCTGAGTCCACAATTGTGTGTCACTTGTTACAATATGTATATCTTTTAGCCTCTCGTGAAAAGGCTGAAAAGTGCAAATTGCAAAACTTGGAGTATCCCGTACCCGATGTCCAGATGAGAAAATCCAGACCGCTGAAGTGTGCGGAATTAGCCAATCAAAAAATTAAACTTACTTTATCTTCTACCACCCAGTTGTCTGTGCCATGTCTCTCAAAATGAGGAAATTTCTCGTACCATCCTTGCTACTATACATCTTACTATACTTACACTCTCCAGGCCCTTTACTTAAACGAAACTATAGCATGAATAAAAAGAATATGTTAATTGATGCATGGAAATGGATACCGCGATGTGCTGTATCTAGGAGTGATTTTTAATTAATTAAGACGGCTTTACCTGTGTTTATTAGGAGCGTGTCATCATTGTTGATAGCCCTGGAGTGGGAGATAATAATGCCATGAATGAAGCTGTCCTTAACTACCTTCCGAATGCCTTCTGCTTTATTTATGTCATCAACAGCACCAATGCTGGAGGAGTTCAGGAAGACAGAGTAAGTGGCTATTTTAAAGATCATTTAATGCAGCTCTTTAATCTTCCTTGGTTACTGTAACCAAATGATTAGTATCAGTTCCAGTTCGAATGACATATACAAAGAAAAGAGTAATATACCACAGTTTTCCAATGAAACAGTTTGTTGACTGAGATTAGGGTCCAGTCATTAATTTTTTCTTGGGGGAGAGGGGTATCGGAGAATTTTGGAGGCATCGGAGGGTTTTAAGGGGGAACGGAGGGGTAACCAGTCGTCGCTAAAAGAGTATAAAGGCGAGACTACTGAAAATTGCAACCAATGATGGTGGAACATCAGATCCATAGACCACAAGAGGGGGATCAGGTTAATTTTATTGTGACACTAATAAAATCCTCCTCCCCCTCCCCTTACATGACCCGTCTCTAGGTGCTGTTTTTGCAAATCGCTTTTCTCTTTGGTAGAGTACATTTATGCTGATAAGAATTAGATTACGTAGGTAATCGTAAAACAAAAAGGGATGAATGCTACCCCCTTTTTTTACATTTTATGAGAAGATTTTATCTAGGCAAATGTCCACTTCAGTAGCCGTTCGTTTATGTTGGAGAAATATTTGCAGTGAACATGGGATGGCGTCACTGGTCCCCCAGCAGCGTCATTTGCATATGTATCCCACAATACAACATCGGTTTTGTAGACGAATTAACAGGCTATCTTTTTAAAATATGAACTTTTTTCAAAATATCGCGATGTAACGAGAAACGAAAACGCTGGAGGGGGGGGGAGGGGATTCCAAATACCTCCCTTTGTATCACGGTGGGGTATGAGCTTACATGCACGTCAGAGGGTTCATAAAATCAGTTAAGGAGCAAGTCTTCTCCCTTCGATTTATGCTTAAACTTAAGTCAATAGATCACGCCCGTAAGTCCCTACAATTTAAATTAAAAAGGTATTTAAGGCTACGAAGACTGACTTACATTTCTCCTCCTTAATCAATCCTGATTATATTCTATAACTTGAAAGGCATCTGCTTGTCTATTTTTTTTTCTTGAATAGCTGGGAAAGTTACTATCCAATGCTGCAAGCTGCAAGAGAGAAGCGAGGATGGACTTAAAGCTGTTTGCTGGTTGTGCCTTGTTCGTTTGCAACAAATGGGACGAGATAAAACCCCATGAAGTAGAGGAGGTGAAATTGGAACAAATCAAAAGGCTCACCAAAAAGTTGGGCGGACTCGACCCGCACTTACAAGTTGTTTACCTGTCGTGCAAAGATGCTCAATTGGCACAGGAATACGGTGTTATAAGAAGCGACTTTGATGACCTGATCAGAGGGATAAGCAATTTATTAGTGTCTTCCATGCAGAATAACTTGGACATCTACACGAGGTAAATAAAGAAGGCTTAATTGGAATTGAGGACATGCTCTTGAGGGGTAGGTTTTGAAACAATAGAGGATACCTCCCAAAAACAAATCAATTGCTAGTATTTCCGTCCCATAACCTTAGTCAAAATAAGATCAACTATGCTGCACATGATCACAGCCTCCACATATATTACGTCGATTTGAAAAATAAATTTTTGCTCTAAGGTGGTTTTGCAGCTTTCGGATCTGCCTATTAGTTAGATATAGGGAAAGGACTTCTACAATGCATAACAATTCTAAGCAGCACGTGGCAGCCTTTCACTAAACCTAGGAAGTTCAAAAGCCGCAAAACTCCAAAACAAAAACGCATCTTTCAAATCAGCACTCTTAGTCCGCTCGATATTTACTCATGCTTTTCATGAAACTAACTTATTTTTGTGTTTTTCACTTTACCAAGTTCCCACCAGTAGCGTAGTCCATCCTACTCGATATAAACCACACACAACCAACGATTCCCCCTCAGTTTTCTCTGAGGGGCAAAGGTTGGAAGCTATCTACGGTGGCCAATTAAATGGTTAGCTCAGTTAATGAGATCACATGCAATACCATTCAAATTTGGTTCGACTCAACCCATGAATATATGAGAGGAACCAATTCAATTTCCTTGTCATGCACACTGCAATAACAAGCGCGCCGTGTTAAATTTTCCCAAAAGAGTTCTTGAAGGAAACTCACGCACTACGATTGGAAAGAAATCATACAGGCCTCCTATCGCTCACAGCAAATTCGAAACGATTGTTACTTTTCATTGAATATTTAATTTTTTTCTTTTGACAACTTGTCTTTTCGGATTACAGATGGCTCGATGATCTTCTATCTCGTGTCTCTCGTCAAGTTACGCTATCAATTAGATCAACAACTTTGTCACGGCTGGAAAAAGATCGGAAAATGAGGGAGATCAAGAAACGAATGGAAGAATTAAAAAGATCCCAAAATGAAACCATAAAAGAACTCGGTAAATACCAAACGCAATTAATCTGGGAGATTACGGGAAGGTTGGCTTTTTACTTTAAAGCGACGGGCACATCAACCCGATTTTGCGAGTGGTCTCCTGCCGAGGTCCCAGATTCAGAAGCAACATGGGCAGAAACGGATGATGAAATCTTAAGGAGCATCTCGAAACGGATTCATCAGTTCGTTCAAGAGTGGGAGGATGAAGAGCACGAGTTCGCTAAAGCCCAAGACACAGTTATTAAAAATCTTTGTGAGAAGTATAACATCATGGAGGAAGAGATCCGCAGAGTAGAAGACGAAGTTCTCTTTGAAAACGGAACGGCGGAGGTATTCCAGCAAGAAAAACGCACTGCTAGCCCCCTAAGCATCCCTGAAGAGGGATTTCAAAACGGTCCCATTGCGAGTAAAACTCCTGTGTGGCTCCGGCAAGGATTAGCATCTGTTGTAATTCGCTCTCCGTTGAGTAAACTTGTGTCAAAATTGAAGGAGAGGCTGGATTTCTCCAGAAAGCTTAGTAAGTACCAGACCGACCCATGCACCCACATGTCTGAGAGATGTACAGCTTCTCTTGAAATTCTCACGGACCAAGACCGTCTCCTTCCGTTTATAACAGAACAACTTGAAGATTCGGTGCAGGTTTTAAATCAGATAAAAGAGAAAATTCCTAAATTAATAGAAGGTGACGAGCAACTGTACCAACAGCTTCTGTCGGACACGAGAAGTAAGGCTGACATCCAGAATTTCTATGAGCCTATAGGTGAGAAACTAGAGTCACTGAAGGGAGAAGTGATCGTCTATGCTTTGAAAGAAATAAGGCGATCCGACTTTTCTGACGGAGATTTGAAATGGACAGAAGATGACAGGTCCATCGTCGGTAGAGGTAGCTTGTCCAAAGTTTACTCTGGTGTACTTTCCCGTAAGGAAGAAAAGGAAATAAGGGTCGCTTTGAGAGTTCACACAGATGTTCTTTCAAAGGAAAACGTGGGGCAATTTTGGAATGAAGATATGACTATGAGGTTTGTCAGAGTAAAGCACTTCCATGATGTATGCGTTGAATAAGCCTCTTATATTAAATCCTCTTTTTTGCCTTAACTCAAACTTGTGTTACTGGGACCAACTAGTCTTAAACGAAATCGAAAAGATTGTTGTTTTTGAGGCCACATCCTCCCATCCCATTTAATCTTGAAGGCAACAGAACAGGTAATGCTCAAAATTCTCGCAGCAGCGTTAATATTCTTCCTTCAACACTCTGAATACTACTGAGCCGTTCGTTTAAGCAGTTTGTTCTTTTTTGAAATTACTCATTAAGTTGTAGCATAGAAAAATTAATCAATTTCTCTGATATTCGCTACTGGTGACCACACCCCCTCACCAAAAGGAGCTGCAATAATAAATAAAATGAGTTATTGTATATCTCTTCTTTCTGATTCAGGGAGATACGCGGACATCCAAGTATTGTGGAGTTTTATGGGACACATCTTCTCAGAGGACCAGAGGGTACCAAAGTTGTGATGGTATCGGAGCTCTGTAAGGATTCCATCGAGAAATACATTTTGTCTAATCGTGACCAGGCCCCTTTCCGTACGAGGAATAAAGTGTTACATTGGGCTGTGCAAATCGTTGACGCTTTGTGCTTTATCCATAGTAAAGAACTTTCCCATCAGAATTTGAAATTGAAAAATGTGCTGGTAAGCAAGTATTTCTCATTAGCATCTTATCTTAACTAACTCTTATGTAATGTGAATGCGAAGTTCGCCCCTGCTAAGTTGCGGTTGAACTGCATAAGATAGGAATATCACCAATATATTGGCGAGATAGTAAAGAGGGTATTGCTATTATTGCTAATGTTGCAGCAGTAAAAAGTCGTAAACTCTTACTTTAAAGAATCCTTGCGTGTCTCGCATCGAGTAGGAAAGCCTCTTCTTGACTGGAATCAGCGGAATTCCCTCGTAATCGAATGCCATGCAAATGGATTACGAACCCTTTTGAGCATGAAGAAAGCAAAATCTACTGTGGTCTACCTGACAGTTCTCCTTTGTCGAAATTTAAATCAGCAATCATCCAGCTTGCGCACGACAACTTTACAAGTACACCAGTGCTAAAATCGCACAAACAATTCCAATTATAGCCACAACCAATAATTTAAAGATAGAAAAACCTTACTCATTACATCTAATATTTCAGCTTACCCAAGACGAAAACGTGAAGCTCAAAGGCATCGGCAGCGGTTCATTTAGAGTGAATAAAGATATCATGGAAGATAACACCCGTTATCTAGCACCTGAAGTGTTGGAAAGTAAGTGTCGAAACTACGACAGTAAGTCTGATATGTTTAGCTTCAGTATTTTGCTTTGGGAATTGTGGTTCTGTGAGAAAGCTTTTCAAAGCTCGATCACCAGTCATTCACAGCACTTACAAAGACTAAAGAGGGGACTCCGCCCAACACATTTAGAGAGTAAAGACCGTCCATGGCAAGTTTGGACAAAAGTCATGGAAACATGCTGGGAAGGTGAACCAAGTGCCCGATTAACTGCTGAGGAAAGCAGGAACAGATTACGTAGGTTGGAGTCTGCTTAGAGGAAAACACAACCAGTGCGAACGACACCACCACCGAAACCATCTTGAAAGTAAAAACAAAGCTAGCACTATAATCATCTTGAGACTCATCCGTTGCTGTTTTAGTTGGGGCTTGCCGTCTATAACGATGAGAAGAATAAACAGCACGTGTTTATATTAATGTTTTCTATAAAAACGATGATATTGATAATAGTAAGAAGAAGACAACACGAGGGCCAAGAGCAGTCTTAAAACCTGCTTGAGCAGTCAATTATCGCTAAGCATATGTTCTGCATTTTTGTCCTCTTTGGAGTCAAATTTTCAGAGGCAGGAATGATAAAGCTTAACAATATGGTAGGTCGCAAAGCGCGAGTTCATATGGTAAGAAATCTTTGTTGCGGTCGAAAGACCGAAGTTAGTCGTATGAGGACTTAAAGTTACAGCAACAGGAGAATTTCACGTTTGGTTTACTACGCCGTGTGGTGTCCCCAAATGCCAAGGCGTGCTTGTCATTTTTTCATGCCCAAAGTTCCTTCGGGCATAGGCATGGTAGGTAGCATAGTGCAGGTTCATATGGTGAGAAATCTTTGTAGCGGTCGAAAGACCGAAGTAAGTTGCATGAAGACCTAACAGTTACAGCAACAGGAGAATTTCAAGTTCGTGCCCAATTTTCTTTAGGAAAACAAAGGAAAATTCATTCCATAAACTCGTTTATCATAGAATTAGTCTACTGCAAATCAGTTTGGTTTACTACGCCGTGTGGTGTCCCCAAATGCCAAGGCGTGCTTGTCATTTTTCCATGCCCAAAGTTCGTTAGGTTTCGCTCAATGGAAGTTTCATTGTCCGGTTCCTTTACGCAACAAAATTTGTGTTCCTCGTTATCTAACACTCGAAATTCGGAAGGAACAAGATAAGCTGTTAGATAGGCAATATACTACCTAGTAAAGCCGATAATGGACGGTTTCAGAGCTCTGCTGAACCAAAATCTAGAAAAATTAGAATATAAAAAGTGTGTCGTAGTTTTAGACCGTCTCTTGAGGTGAAATAAAATCGGTGAAAGTTATTGCTAATTAGTATGCGATGCTGCCGCCGTCACATTGAAATATGGCCACCGATTGCCGACAGCTTGAATAAAAATATGGTTCTGATCAGTTTCTTATTCCTTATCAAAACAAGAAACCGTATAGGAAAAAATGCCCGTGATACTAACTGGTAGTCTTAGTTTATGTAGCTTAAATTTTAAAAGTTGAATAGCAAAATCAAATCAAACGTCGGATCTCTGCTTTTTTTTGAAAGACGTAATATTTTAAGTTACGCAGAGAAAAAGTATTAATGAAAGACGAGGATAATTTGTAACAACTCCTCATCCTAGGGATGTTGTATACATCAAAATGTGTAGCTAAATGCAGACATAATTTAATTCATTACTCAGTCACCTTACTAGTACTCCACATACATTCACTTAGCTCTTAGAAAGTATGTCATTATTCCCAGTATGGAAAACAAATGAGTTATATTCTATAAATTTTAGAGCGAGGTTTAAGAGGTTAGGTTAAATAGCTCAATCAGCTCAGTGAGCGTAATTGTGCCTCGACTTGATATGAAAAGATATTTTGAGTAATAAATATACAGCGAGTGTTGCAACGTTGGTTCAAGTGATTTTACCCAGTATGTGATGATGCCTTATAAATTGCAGATCAAAATCGCCTGACAAAATTTCTCATGGAAAAACTCCATAGTGTTTAGAAGCAATGCCCTCTCCATGAAAATGAAATATTTGAAAGAATCTCCGACGTTGAATTCAAACTTGTCAAAGTAGAACAGGATTTTAAAATTTTCATCACAAAGTTTTATCAAATACGATGGATATCTCAAAAATATGTATCAAACCTGGCTGTAAATTGGAATTCATAATTGCTTTTTCCTAGCAAAGAAAGTCTCTAATCCTGTCCAGGTGCTCGAGAAAGACCTTCCCTTTATCTGCTCGATTGTTTTCAAGCCCATTCGAAATGTTTAAATTCCTAGTGATGTCGAATCAAAGCCGCGTCTTTTGCCTGACGGATTTTATTATTACAAGAAATCATTGGTTGATTTCAATCAGAAAAACTCCTGCGATATCCTGTTGAAGCAGCTCACGTGATAAACAACTGAAAATGCGTTATGTAACGGAACTACTTACTCCAAAAATAAGCACTCTTTTACCCTGTGTGTCAGAGGAGCATTGCTGACCGTTATCATTCCCTTTGATGAAGAGCAAAAGCCCGAAACGACAGCTTTAAAACACTTTACAGCGGCCAGTTTACGTTATTTTTTTACGAACAGCATCACAGTTTCTTTAGAAACCTAATCTCGCAGGGTGTCACGTCTTAAAGATGACATAGATGAAAGCAAAGGCATTTGGTAACAATGTCGTCCATAATATCTGACTCCCCGACTTCAGGGCTGTCAACGATCATAAAACCATACTAGTGTGGAAACAGAGTAAGTAAGTTTATTTTCTCCATGTAATTCTCCTTACAATTCGGCGTTAAAACCCCCAAAGGGTTCGTGAAATTTAGTTGCCACCTTACATCATATATATAAAAGCATGGTTTGAGCATGATCGTCGGAGTATCTAACCTGTAATAATCTGTTAGACCAAGTTAGTTTGATGTCTTTTCTCTTAAACTTGCTGACTTGACATGAACAAATTCTGATATTTGATCTAAGTAAGGCGAGGATTCTTTAAGATACTATATCTCGGGAGCCTTTCCTTCTTCGTTATAGTGTATCTTTACCCTTTCCTCTCTTCCATATTTCAATTCACACATTGTAGATGTTGTACTCAGAACTGTGGAATGGCAAAAGCTCTTCACCAAGAATTAGGGTCAATATGCTGCTTTTGCCTGCACTGGTCTCCCCTAAGCGTAAGTAAAATGCAAAATGATCATTGCTCAAATCTTAAATCTCAAGTTCTTCCTTAAACAATCAATATAAGTTTGAAATTTTACCATAAGAGAAATATAATTGCCATGCATAAAGTATTCCTCCCATAAAATCGAGTTCGAGTGATTCAACGTAATTTTTTTCGGTTTTAAAGGTCAAATCCTCACTACATAGGGTAAACTCTAAGGCTTAAGAATTCATTAGATCGTAGCTGACAGTTTTGTTAAGACAAAATGAAATTAATTGGGAAACATCCTAACCAAGTAGATTTTTGATACTCCTCTTTGTCACCGGGTTTCTTTGTGCTTAGCATGATCATGGCTGATCAAAGCACTCCAGTGGTTTGGGCAAGGTATTATGTTCAACATATTCACCTGCTATTAAAACAACATAATCTCTGTCGTCTATTCTTTTCATTCTTTTCTTGACTTTTGAAAGGACGTCGCCCTCGCTTGTTTTCAGCAAATCAAGGAAGGTAGCGTCAAGAAAAGAGGTGGCTTTGATGAAAGCTGTATTTCCCTCTCCACCTCAGCGTAATAATCAAGACGGGCTCACGACTTTTTCTTGTCCATTGATTGTGCCTCTAAAATCACCTTAAAGGCCTGAAACATGCGTAAATATTGAATGGATTAAAGAAGTAAATGAGTTTATTTAGACTAATTGTAACATTTAGGCTAGAAGAGAAAAAAGCTGATATTACCGCTGGGCAATTTACACTTAATTCAAGAAAGTTGTTTTTTTGCTTGTTTAAAATGCTGCGCCGAGTTTAAGTTGGTAAAGTATCAATTACGTTCTACATTCCTATTCACAACTAAAAAATGACAAATGTATGGGTGTGCAGGTCGGACTGAGTGTTTACTGCCGTCCGTGTCATTGCAGAAATAAAAGCTCAAGTAAGTAGCTTTATATAACAAGGGCGATCGAAACTTAGTTTACAACACTTAGACAAGGCAAATGAGCACCCGCCAGTTATGAAAAACCCAAAAAAGCCACAGGGAAAATAAGAACGTATTTCCGGACCAAATGCAGCTACGCCGACCCTCGGTTAGAGATTGAGTACAGTTCACCACATATACTAACTATGCATGCATAATTTAGAGTATAAAAACGTTAACGAGATGCTTGAACGTCCATTAAGCAAGAACTCACCTATTGTTAAGTGGCTGAGATGCCTAAATTATTACTGTCAGACCTCATATACACTACAACTAAAGAGTTTGTTTGTGCCAGGGGAAATTATTTTCATTTTCTCTCACTGCCACCTACAGCTTAGTTCCGCCGAATGTAATGACATTTCATCAAAGCCACCTATTTTCTTTACCTGGATATATCGTTAATATAGTTTTCAAGTAGAAAGGAAAAAAAAAAGTCATAAGGTTTCAGTATTGTTAGGTTAATTCTCAAGTAACCTTGCAAGAAACAAATGGCAAACACCGTGAGCCAGATGAATTACAATTAAATTTTGAGGTTGAAAGGATTGAAGTAATTACTTCATTTTGTGTTCGAGACCTTACTGTCTGCCTGCTGTTGTGAATTCACCGATCAGAACAAAATATAAAGCTGAGCCTAACTAATTTCAATTTCCTTCGGTGAACTGTCTGCCAAATGACCATATCAAACTCATGAGGTACAAATAGTCTTAACATGAATATAGTGACCACGCCCACTTCAACGCCCCACTCAAATCGAGTGTAATTTTCGAACATTTTACCATCGTGCGGATTCTCTACGGAAAAAGCACTCAATGTACCTCTGAAATATTAAACTATAATATTTTGGCTTCCTATTTCGCTAATTTTCTAACTTGAAGGTAAAGTTTTTCCCTCGTCATTTTAACCTTTTCTCCGAGCGGTTACGTGAAATTAACAAGGCGTTTTTGTTCAAAACACAACCGAGCGAAGCGTCTCGGGCGATATCCCTTTTACGCGAGCGTAATTTAAAAATGTACCGCCAGAATCAAAAAGAGGAACAAATTTCCTTTGTTTTGATATGTAAAGTGTCGAACAAAAAGCAGATTTACCCTCGTCAAATGGCGTTTCAAAACAGCTGTACCTTCCTCCTTTTGATTTTTTCCTGTTTTGTGAGCGTGAAAGCAGTAGGAGAGGGATCGGGAAACTCAGAAAGCACTTCGGGAATAAATCTGCCATTGTTTACTTACGAGATAAACAAGTAAGATTTGCGAAGTTCATCGCAGTATGAAGTCTAAATAAATGCCCTTTTCAGGCTTGTTCGCTGGATTTTTCGTAAACTTCCCTAATTAATTTTTCGTTTCAGCTTACTAATCTATACTATTTCAAAGCAAAGAAGTTTTCAGAGAAAACCATGAGTCGGTCCTTTCAATAATTGTGAAAAAAGTGTTTGAGCAATCAGGTATACGAGGTATAATAATCAATAGCCATATATCAGATGTCTTCAGAAAGAAAATAGTCTGTTTTCAGAAAGCTGTCAAGAAAGCTAGTAATCGTGACAATTAAATGCACTTCTTAGCAATTTGGAAACGGGCCCTCGGTATCGATTTAAGGTGTATTACAACGAGGTTAATGTACATCAGCTTAAAGATGAGAACAGCAGTTGAGGGGAGAAAAAATAAAATTAGAAGAATCGTTGGTACAGGAGAAGGCAAAGCGATTGCGAGTGGATAAAAAAGCCCGAGAAGCTATCGAGAAAGCTGAGAAGAAAGGGGCCTTCTACGATAAAAATTTATTCAGTTGGCCAAAAAAGTGATAACAAATGGGAAAAAAGGTAGAGGCCCAGCTAAGAAGAAGTTTAATGACTATTCTAAGAACCATCAAAAGAGAATTAAAAACCAACAGAAGGAGGAGTGCTAAACTACACTCTCCTTTCTTGGGCTGTACAATTTTGTTGCAACTAAAATTGAAGTCCTCAACACTGAGACTAATCAATAAGAAACTTTCAATCTTGTTGGAGAGGGAGGGCTGCCATTTACAGAGTCTGACCCAAAGGCCCTTAATAATGATGACATCAATAACATAAATATGTGGCTCTACCTCAAAGATAAATTCATTATTTCAAATGAGGCCTGGCATAAAATTGCCATTAAGGCTAATGATCTCCTCAATATATATTCCATCAAGAAGCAAATTAATGAGCCAAACAGTGAATGGAACTTGAAACCAACACCAGGAGATGCTGAAGGTGTTCAGTTAGGATTTGCAGAAAGCTTGCAAGAGCACATTGTTAGGTTTCAGAAGAATGGAGAAATCAACGATGGAGAAACTATTAAGATCAAGCTTAGTGGTGATGGTACAAATATTGGGAAGGGGCTTACGGATGTCAACTTCACTTTTACTATTCTCCATGAAAATGATGTGGCATGGGTGTGAAGGGAAATTATATACTTGCTGTTATAAAAACTACAGAGACATATGATAATCTGAGAGACAGCCTGGCAGACCTTCGAATGGAAATGTCAAACTTAAAGGAGATAAGTGCAAATAATTGCACCTATAAAATTGAATACTTTTCAAGTGGAGATTTGAAATTTTTAGCACTGGTATGTGGTTTAGGCAGGGCAAATGAGGATTATGCTTGTGTGGGGTGCAAGTGTCCCAGGGAGCAACAGTGGGACACAAGCGAAACATGGTCAATTAATGACCCCAAATTTGGTGCTAGAACTGTCACTGAAATAGCAAGGTTTTCCACTGGAAAGAAATTAAACTGTAAGGCACAACCATTATTTGATTTTATACCTATGGACCATGTCATCATAGATACATTACATTTTTTTTCTGAGGATTTCAGATGTTTTGATTGACTTGTTCATAAGAGAGCTGAGAAGAAGTGATGCTATTGAGAAAAAAAAAACCTCTGATGGATTCCCAAGGGATAAATATAAACACATGGCATGTTATGAAGAATTTATCAAAAGTATGGGAATCACTTTTAATTTTAGAATCAACAAAGAGAGCAAAAAGCTGGTATACAGAGATCTTATTGAACCAGAAAAGTTGAAACTCTTTCAGAATATAAACATTCCGACCTATGCTTGTCCCTCATTACAGTCAAAACAAAGACATACAAGTGATCTGGGCTAAATTTATGGACATAATTGGTGATTTGAAGCTAGATTTTACATCTGAAGAGGGTATTCTTGAACTGCAAAGAAATATCAAATCATGGTTTGAGCACTTTCTCAAAGTTTACCAAGCAAAAGATGTCACTCCCTACATGCATGCACTATGTTATCATGTTCCAGAGTTCCTGTCACTTTATCAGAACATAGCATATTACACACAGCAAGGCTTGGAAAAATACAATAGTAGAGCTTCTAAAGATTTCTTCAGATCCACAAATCACAAAGGGGTTGATGCCCTCAAACAACTGTTTCTGAGGAAAAACAGGATTTAGTTCCTGGAGGCAGCCGGTTATGAAAGGGTTAAGAACACCTACAACGATGAGCTTGTATTCAATGATTGGACTTCTTAGTCCCAGCCAATACTTAATAGTTCCTGGAATTACATAGGCAAAATCTTCAGCTACATTTAAAATTCTTTCATCCCACTTCAGCCCCAGATATGAATCAAGCACCCTATTTGACTCCAATTGGTAAACCATCTTCCCTCTTTGAAGTACGCCGGGCAAAACACTCCCAAGACCTTCCATGAAAATATCTTGGTCAACATTAAGGTCTATGTTTATATCAGGGTCCTCTCGCCGTCCAGACCAAAGCTTTTTCTTTATTTCACGAGCAAGTTGACCATGGGACGATTCTTTTCTATCCTCTAGAGAGTTTTCCGAGGGAATGAACAGCTTTTCGCTGTGAACAAACGGAAATATTCAGATCCTCTATCGGCCCTGAAGGGTGTCCATTCATCGAAGCATATGCTATAGCCAACGTAATGAATTTTCAACCTCTCTTGTTGATTTTGTCAACCTCCCTGATCTCAATATCATACAGTTTTGTATCTCTCTATCGGGGATTCGCCTTTCTAACGGGGGTGTATGTTAAGTATTTATTGCAAAATCGCTTTGCTTTTTCTATTTCCCTCTTTGACCTGTCCGCCATTTTGAAAATTCGCATCGGAGAGCATGCGCATTACGTAGGGTTAGTGGTCGCGTACACCTGGAACCGAGAAAAACAAATGTTCGTCGCGCTGGGGAAAGAGTTTGATATGATGAGGTCTTTTGCCACATGATTCTGTCATGATATTGCCATAGTTAATCATATTTTTCGTATGGCAAGCTTGATAGTACTGCCTACGACCGATAACTGACCAAGAAAGAGTACAAATGCTCGATTACTCGTGACAGTGAGTTTAAAAGCTTCAAGCAGTTTCTTAAAAGCAGAAGCCCAACTACTTTGGCAGCAAGGCCATTGTAGCAATGGCAAGCGGCCGAACCATTGAGCCATGACACAGAATAAAAACAATATAGAGAATAATGGTCTTTAGGTGTTTCTGAGTAAAAAGTTCGGAGCCAGTTTGAGAAAATAACTTAATAAAGCTAAGAATTAACAAATTTACAGGCGAGCGATCTGCAGCTGTTCTGCTGTATTATGTTGGGTCGATTGATGCATTGATCAGTACCCGAACAGACCTGAAATTATAGAGCTGAATTTAAGGATCAAGTTGCGTTTCTATGTTTCCTTGAGATCTTTGCTGTAGTTTTAATCGCGTAATAATAGTAAAAATCTGTTACTGCAAGACATCTTAGATAGTAACGATATATGATACATGAAAGCCTCATAGATTCTGAGCCATTTGTTTTACGATGCCACGTCGATAAGCTACAGCGATGTGATGACAAGTTTAGTCTAAAAACTCATCGACTCGCTATCGAAAGGCACAACTGAAAGGAATAGCATTAAAGGATACTTGCTGCCAAGTAAAAGTTTGTAAAATTAAATTATTTCCCTGGTAGTCTTACCTCATTGCAGGCCGAGCGGTTATCTTTCGAGAGCTTAGATGAGCGAGCATCCTTTCCTTCTTTCTTCGATGTTTTGGCATCCTGTTGTTGGAATGCTCAAATTCTGCACTATATTGATAACCTCGGCTATGTCATCTGCCTCATTCAATCTTTGTCTGATTGCTTCCATTTTTTTCTTCCAAAAGAAACTGTGGGAAATTGAATATACGGCGCCCAGTAGAGAATGAATTTTTTAATTTTTGGGATTGTTTGGAAGGCCTACTTTCCTAGAATTATCATGTGACGACTCACGGTAATCAAGGTGTCATGTCATGTTTACATTTAATGCAAAGCGACCTTTAATTTGAAGCAGTGAAGTCACTCTTGAACCTGATATAATAGAAATCTTGGGCGAAAATACTAGCGTTATCAACCGCTTTGCTCTTCTAAACTACCAATCCACGGCTGATTTCAAGAATAATCAAAGTCTAATCTTGACGTTGCATCAGTCGGCCTCTAACAGAACTATACCTCAACAAAAACAGATGCTCTTTCTTTATTTATAGAAGTCAAACATTCCAAAGCTATTTAGCGTGAGTAACCATGAATCCCTTGTTGAAAACCGCTCACGTCCGAAAGTTTTTTAGAATTCTCTTATAAACATGGACGGAAAAGCCAAGATAGATAACATTTTTGCGATGATTTTGTTTTCTAGGAAATCGCTTCTGATTGCTATAAGTGTCGCACATTTTATCATTTCATCGGCTGGCAGCTCGTGGTGATGACAGGCATGTCTTTCAACCGTGACATGCAAACAATCTTTACTCGTCGTAAACGCGAGAACTATCTGATTTTGGCTCTTGCATCACAGATTGAAGTGGAATCACATCGCGCCAATCAATTTATCAGCGTTTTGAAATACTGATACATATTGGAATAGAACTACTTGCAAAGAAACCACAAATGAGAGAGATTAAATAGAGACTTACAAAGCCGTTTACCTGTCTGTGACAAATGTGTAATGACAGGGACTTTCCCCTATTCCCAGAAAAACCATCGCAGTTTTCTCAGAATTAGTTACACCTGAAATGTCTTATTTTGTATCTCTTTGGGCAAGGAGCAATGATCTTTGTATTTAAACCTTTATACTTTGTACTTAAACCTCCATTACCCCCAGAAGCAAAATAAGGTGAGATACAGCTTAGTCGAGTTAACTGTTTGATATGTGGAAATGATACTTACGAGACGGCTGTAGCCTGATGAATCATGCTAACAATTGATTCTTTTAAACGACCGTGACGCGATACGTGTATTTTGTTCTTTGCAAACTGAATTGTTTTGCCTGTTGAACTTATTTCATAAATACTTCGTACAGGCACTTTTTAAGCGTTTTATGTGATGCTTAATATGGATTCACCATTGAATTTCAGAGCGCCAGCCGTCTGAGAAGAGTATTATGGTCTGTTAAGAGATCAAGTGATCGTGCACAGGAGAAAATCCTGTCTTGTTTTCTACCTTCCGAGTTTTGTGGCGCATGAATAGGATTTGTCTGTGGCACAGCGACTTTGAATCACCCGTTGAGCATCTCTATAGGCTGGTAAATGGATAACTAGGATTTGAGGAATGCAACATTACGAGTGCTTTTAAAAGAAGCAACCTTGCATTGGGTATTATTTGACGCCATTTGAAAAAATACTCTACTGTTGACGTGACTTCTCGAGAATTTTGTCAAAAACGCATGATGTCTACAGGGCTGGAGAAAGTGGATACCATAGACGATATACAAGAAGCTTGCGAATTAGTTAAATCTTTTGGTCTTTCAACAAAAGGCTTAGATTCGTTAAAAGAGGTGAAGAATAAACTTCGTGAGCATTTAAAAGGGTTGGAGGAGACTTCGTCGCGAAAGATTGGAGAGGTATGCAATCACAGCAACACTTTTTCAGTTCAGATATCCTGATATTTATGCAGAATATGATAAATTATCCGACTATATGTAAATCTAAGCTGTCGGAGTACACATTGTTTCGCTTGTTTTGCTGCTTTAAAGCAAATTTATCCATTGTTATTCTTGCATAATATTTAGAATGGTTTAATATCATAATGCGGTAAAATTCAATTGAAATGTCAACACTGACCACAACTTACGGAGGTCTAAACAGAAAACTATAGTTTATGCAAGGAATCATCGCGATCATTGACCAATAAACATGTGCATTCAATCCGTAAATACCAAAATGGCTGCTTACCAAACGACTGTGGGTCATTACCCAAACGGATATCAAAGCACGTTTGCTTAGTCAACATTTTTGGAGATTATATTTAGCTTTGCACCCCTTAACGTCTTAGATAGCGAGACAAAATCATTAAACATTACCATGAAATGCGTGATCAAGAATGAGGCAACGCAGGAATGTATCAATACCGCTTTACCCAGTACATGTTTCGTTTGGTTCTCCAGACTATAGATCGATGGCTTCATTTTCATTTTTATTCAACAATTAGGACCTATTGGCTTGCAGCAATAGTGACGATTTCAGTCCTTTTTTGAAGCTCTGAAGTCTCCGTATCCTTCGAAAGAATATTCATACAAATGCACAATTTGCTAATCGAAAATGGCATCCCCTCTCCCCATAAGGGTTTTGTCCATAAATAATAATTTTTTCAAACTTGTCATTGTGGTCGAAGTAATATTTTCGACACGGAATTTTGACGGTCTGTACAATCGTTTTATTCATGTGTTCCATGGAATATTTAGAGGAATCGCTTGCGGGTCAAGGGGGGTTGGTGCTCACTCGCAGAGAGGTAGCCCGGCTAGTTTCAATATATAAAAAGAGTGACTACTGTTTAAAGCTTCAAGCAACAGCTAAGTATATCCAATGGGTTCCTCGAAAAAAACTCGTCAAACATGCAATATTTATCGCTGATTTACAAAATTGAAGATCTGGAGGTGTTCAAAATTAGCGCTGCTACCAGTCGTGAACCGGAAAGGCCTCTAATAGGGAAAAAAACGTTTAGCAACGCTACCTGTGTTCACTTGGATCAAATGTATTTAGTGCTAACTACCTTCGACAATTTTGATTGAGATCTTTTTACTTGCAGACACACGAAGTTATCTCCAACGCTGGGAAATCGGACGCTGACAAACGCAGAAAGTTGCTCGATCTTTATAAAAGAACTGAGCTGTTCATGGGTCAGTTTGAGGCGGAATTTTTGGAAATACTTGAAAAGAGCTTCGAAGACCTAAACAAATCTTTGCAAGAGAGAAAACAGAATGTTGAACCAAGTGATCAGTACGTTGTTCTTGTTGCAGGTGTGTTTTGCTGTCATCAGTAAAAGAGTTTCATGTTCGCTTAGACTTGGGATGCAGTCACAATCGTTATGGACGAGGTATCATTTCGAGAAGCAACAAAAAACGCCATCAGCATCTTATATTAATTAACTCTCCTTTGCATTACCGTAACTGTTAACAGACAATATTATTTAGCCTAAATTGTTATATATATCTCTGCAAAAGGTGGTTGGGCCTCTGGTTTTTTTTTTGTTATCATGCTCTCGCACTTAGTCACTAATTTTATAAGCCAGTTCAAGATGAATTAAATCTTGCTCACAGGTAGTGTTTTTTGATCTTGCTTTAACGCTTTCCAAGCTTCGATTATGCTTGGCCATTGCCTTTTATTTTATGATTCCTCTCTTGACTAGGTGAGACTAGCGCTGGAAAAAGCAGTGTAATTAATCTCATCTTGGGAGAAGACCTTCTTCCCTCTAGAACACTAAGCACCACTTCCACAATTTGCGAGCTGAAATATGGAGAAAAGCCGATGGTCGGTGTACACTACAAGCCTAATGGAACAAAAACTCCTGAACCAGCATTCCACGAATTGAATGATGGAAGTAAAACCTACAAAGAACAAATAGAGAAGTTTGTGTACGTCAAAGAAGATAGAGAGAAAACCCCTTACGAGAAAATTGAACTGTTCTTTCCACACCCTTTATTTAAGGTACTAACGAAGTTGATAGATGAAGCGAAAAAGTTGCGACCAAATTTCGGAATAAAAAAATTCAGGATCAACAGTAAACCTCTGCACGTAGCTCTATGGAATAAACTATGGAGTTAGACTATAAAGATTGACACAGTTTATTTCTGAAAAACTTTAGCGGTGTGTGAGGCGAAGATAATTTCAGTGAAAGGAATAATAAATGTTTGTTCCAAATTCTATGGTTTCTTTGGTTACAGTGCATTAAAATAAAGGTGCGAGAACCTTTTAAGTTAATGGCTAACCATGAAGAATGGTTTAAAAAAATTTTTGAGAAATGCTGGTCATGGTAAATAATATTTCAATGAACTCATCTATAAAAATAACCCACGGAACTTGTAAAAAGTAATAGGACTACGAATCTCATTACGGATTCATGCTTCAATTTCAGGAGAATGTAATGATCGTTGACAGCCCTGGTGTAGGAGAAAGCGATGTCATGAGTAGTTTTGTTCTCAACTACCTGCCGCGGGCCTTTTGTTTCATGTACGTTCTCTGTACATCCAATGCTGGAGGAATTCAGCCCGACAGGGTAAGGAAAAGGAACACTAGGTATTACAAATCTAATCAAAACTATAATAACATTCTCGAACGTGACTAGTTATCACCCGATTTGAGCGCTAATAGGACAGTGTACGCGTCACACTTGTAATTGGACAGTGTAATGGGACATTTAAAGGGACAGTTTACACGTCATGCCCGTGTAAGTGGACAGAAAAGAGCGCCGGGTTAAATGCTGTATTTTCTATGAAAACATGTAACCGATGTCTAGTTTCTTTCTCAAATTGTGCCATTGTTTTGATTAACTTGTAACAGGACTTCGTATCGTCCAATTCTGTAATTATACTCGTGATTAATATCTCATTTGTGAAAATTTCTTGAACCTGTCATTGTACATCTTGAATGTTTGACGCAATTTTACCTCACCAACCTAAACTGAATAAATAGAAACTTGAAATTTATTTGTTCTCCTTTTGAGGTGTGCATCAAATTTTCGAATTCATCACAGGCTTAAACTATAGGTTTACAGGAAATCTGCATGTGCATGTGTTTTCAACATATAAAACTGGGATTATGACTACTTCAAAAGACTTTACTATATGCAATATAGGTACAGGCAGGTGTTGTGAAAAAAGTTTGCTCAGCTTTTTCATTAGTACACATTTCTTTTTCTAAGAACCTTGTTTATCCAGCCTGTGCTGAATTCTAATTTTTCAACTAAATTTTATTATTTTTTTAAATATTATTAGATCTCCTAGTATCAGTTAATATTCTTGTATTTAAAATAATTACATCAAATTTTGCAGATGTATGGCAGATTATTTTTGCTCTGAACCTCCTAACATTTTACCATTTGAAGGGACTGGTATTGGCTATAAAAGTACAGTCTTTGCACAACCTATGCACCAAGTTTTTGTTATAAAATATTATATCCTTATCAAAACTAGTTTATCAGAATAAGAATGAGTTACCGGGAACAAGTATGGCTTTCATGATGATAGTTTTCAGATTTGAAAAAAAGTCACTGCTTACTAAAATCCTCAGTTCCTTTGCCTTGATAGCCCAACCTCATCAAAACATTGCCAACAGGAGCGATTAGCAAATTATAGCTACAGACAAGAGGGCCTATTCCTACATACATCCTCTTCAATCCTGTTAGCTTATTATGGTCATGGCATTTCAAACATGGTGTATATGCCACAAGTTCCCCATTTCCCTGACTAATTATTTTTTAATAGTGTTTATATGTTGAGGAAATGGTTAGGTTGATATATAATACAAAGACTTGCCAGTAGATAGTTTTATTACGGTTTTTATTCAGTGTAACGTAGGGCTGGAAAATAAACTAATAAGAGCTCCGCTTTTAGGCTTGGCTAAATCTATATATTACTCGTGATTAACATCTCATTCGTGATTAACATCTCATTCGTGATTAACATCTTATTCGTGATTAAGAAACAAAGCTTCGGTCCTATTAACATTAATAATCAGTTAAGAAGAGGTTCAGTAAAGGTGGGCTTCTCATCCACAAGAGAATGATACCTAAGGATTATGCCATAGTACTGTTTTCATTATTGTTTCAGTGATTCCTTAGAAATAAAAGTTGCCCTAAATCTCAGTTTTAGCTTAGAGCTCTGTTTTAAAATGCTAAATAGAAGCAGAAATGGTCGTTACTATGCTCATATGAGCGGCGAGACGCTTCTTTCCCGCTTGCATTGATTATACTAATGCAGACCCAAAGCAGGACCAACACATTACAAATGTTCTATATTTTATTAACTCTTTAATATCATACTTAGTCAACGTCAATTCAAACTGATTAGTCTTTTTTTTCCGGAAGAATATGACATCCTAATCGCTCATATTTTCAAGATAGATTTTAGACAAGCATGTGTCGCTAGACACTGTGCGGCTCCTCGGTTCGCTCACTTTATATAGCATCAAAACTAGCAACACAATTTGGTGATTGTTTTCTGATGCTTTGCAAATACACATTTTTCACAAAAATCACCAAATACTACTTGGGAGGAAAGGGAAGGGTCACCATACAAAACACGATGTACTTGGGAATAGTCGCTTTTATGATTCATCAAATATCTTGACTTGCGCCCGATTGGTCTAAACACACCACGTGATCGATTAATCTCCGACTAAAACATCCAAGCAATATCCCCCAATTTTCAAACTTACTTCGCTACGGTAAGTCTTCGTTTCGAATTAAATTGGAGACGAGAGAGGGTTTTGTGGTTGTTAGAGAAGAAGAGAGAATTTTTTTTGTTCATTAAGTCGTACTAGAGAACACTCAAAAGAAAACGTCCCACACTTCATACAGTAAGTTGAAGGATAATAAACACAATAGCCTCTATTATGCGCCAAAACATGCACTTGTGTTTCTCCTTGGACATTATCTGTTCCTCGAAGTTTACAATTTTCCTCGAATTTCGCTCTCGGAAAACTGTTCGTCCGCGGACAAATATCCGCGTATATTTTTGCACCGAATAGAGGCTACTGTTTTCATGCATGTTTCTATAGCGTAAACAAAGGTATTTTCCGAAATATCCTATCAGCAATTGGCTCTATATTTGGGAGCGCAGGATAGTTGAAACATTTCTTGTCAGACCATATTTGCCACGCATAGGTGTACGAAGTATCTTACTAAAAGTTGAATATAGAGTTTGTCATGCTCTAGCAAATATTCTTAGGTCTTATTTTATTTTCCTTTTGTTTTAAAAGTTAGGAAAGCTACTCACGTGCGCTCAAGATCTGAGGAAAAGTGCCAACTTGGATTTGTCGCTATCAGCTGCCTGTACGTTGTTTGTCTGCAACAAATGGGATTTGGTTGAGGACAATGAACGCGAGGAGGTGAAAAAGGATACGGTCAAAAAGCTCACAAGAATACTTGGTAACTTCAATCCGAAATCACAGATTGTATATTTGTCATGCAAAACCGCGCAGTTAGCTCAGACCTATGGGGTAGTGACAGAGGATTTCAGCAACCTAATAACAGGGATTAGTAATCTCGTAGTTTCGTCCATGAAGAATAATCTGCAGATGAATACTAGGTAGGTGAACTTCTGAATAATTCTAAGTGAAGCCTTGAATATATATTGTATCAAATACACAACAAAGACAAAACCTTGAGATGGAAATTAAAGTTCGATTACGAAATAGAATTGGAATAAAGATGTCACTAAGGAGTCATCAAGTAAGGTAGGATGCAGATGATTACATGAAAGTACCTAAAACAGCTCCAATAATTATTATTATTTAATGGCATTGTGCTATAATATAACAATAGAGTTTATGTTCGCGGGCATAAGTGTTTTGAGCCCGACTCGTACTCATTTCAACCCGAGCCGTTAGGCGCGTTGAAATTGTGACCAGTTCGATTCACGTAGCCGAACGCAATAGCCAACAACAAAAAGAAAGGTTAAGTCCACTGAAATCTGTAAGACTTTAAAACATAGTAACTCAGCTCAATGAAATCTGTAAAACATCAAATCATGGTAAATCAGCTTCCAAATGTATGTAAAACATAGCCGAATGACAGCCAAACAGATACGCAAAAATCAACTAACAAGAATTCAAATCGCTTATGTGGTGCAACATAATATCATATCGAATTTTTTAAAATAAATATTTATTAGTATATTTGAAAAATCAGTACATTGTTACACTACATACATAACTGAAAGGTTAATTTCTAACATGAATACTAGATAACTTACATTTTTTTTGACTACGTATATTACTGCGTAATACAAACACAAATCATTACAATTTACTAATCAATAAAATAAAATAACAATAGATTACAAAAAAAAAGATAAGAAAAAAAATTATTTTATCAACCATGTAGAGTAACAATAAAGATTACAATTACTTAAATTCTATTAAGGTTTTTCAGACAAGGAATTTTTTGAAGCACACACAACAAAGAAAAATTTTAAGATATCAAGCTATTTAAAAAATCACTTCCCCAAACATTTTCCATTTTTCGCTAAACAAATTAATCTTTTTAGAATTGAAAGCGATGTATTTTTCTGTTTCGTATTCTTTTTCAAAATTATTTTAAAGTGTCTTAGGTCTGGCTTAATGATTTTTTGTTTTACAGCTCCAAAGGTAGATTTAATTTGTCCTAAATCTATTATATAGTTGTCAAGATGCATTACCTCCTTCAAAATTCCGATAATCACATCACGTAACGAGACACACCGGCAGCTACTAAGTTTATTCAATATGTTAGTAAGAACCTCATTCCAGAAGGACTTTTAATAACAACACTCAAACAAGATATGGTATATTGTTTCGCGAGTCTCTTGACAAAGAGAAGAATTTGGATTTGAAACAACCTATTTTATACAAAAGTTCATTTGAAAATAGGATAGAGTTAAACACTTTGTGTTGGAACGAGCGTACATACGGTTCGCTAGCAACTCTAAACGGTAGGAGGTATACTTCTAAGGGTTGATATTCCCTTAATTAAAACTCCTCAGTTAGCTTAGACCATTTCCTTGGCTTTTCATATTTATTTTTCATCAGATGATGGTAATAATAATGGCATTTGAAGTTTTCTAAATCAATAACCGCTTCGAAAATTGTTTTTTTTATATATCGTAAGTCCAACGGCACAACTTTTCTCAAGCCTGTCTCTACTAAAAAATTGTCTTTACTAAATCTTTTCTTTTCACAGTGTTAAATGACTTGATATTTTAATGCGCCAGATATCGTGAACATCCAGTTCTGATTGTATTTGTTCAATAGCGGCAATTACAGATCTTCTCGGAGAAATATTTCCACTTCTTTTGTCAACAGCGGGATTTAAAGGACAATTAAAATCACCTCCGAAAATGATGTTTTCAATTGAGTCAAAATCTATTTCAATAATAGTTTGCAAAACCGCATGATAAAAAGAAACTAAGTCATTATCACGATTTTAAAAAAAGGTGGTTTTACCCCGGAGCTTAGCAGAAACACAAACCCACTTTACGAGGCTCATTACCATTCCTTCATAATAATACCCTCCATGATAATATCATATCGATTGGTTGGGACTGTTTTCATCGTCAAGTTTGAGACTTTGAAGCCCTTTTTTTTCCCCACTTGAGTACTCTTCTTTGTCTGCTGAGGTGCATTTCCATAAAAGGATGGAGGGAAAGCAAGGAAAACCACCCTGATAATTTTAATTAAATTTTAAATGTACGGCCCGATGAAAGATGTTATTTTGAATTCTGTTGATAATTCCATTTACTCATGCAAACATTTCAGCCTTTGTCCCACACCTTAGATGTATGAAAAAAGATATAGTGAAACTGCACGATTACGCGGACAAAATCTATTAGAAGGAGTAGGGAATTGCCCAAAAGTTACACGGCTTTGTTTCCTGCGATGAAAATACACCATCGAGTGAAGTTGACGAGGAAAATGCAAATTTTTCTTGCTTATGCTAGAAGCTCCTTTTGAAATAAACGGACGACTTTGAATGTCCTAACAAGCACTTTTCGATACGGCTTAGGAATCCGACCTGCAGGATGTCAAGCTGTGTTCGTTTTTATGCTTAAACAATGCTGCAAGAAGATTGCGCAAACGTAGCAATGGGTTTTTGATTGTAAATGGCTGCTGTCATCGTACGATTTTTTGTTTCTGACTTTTTATTGATTTATTTCAGCAGGCAGAAAACTCATTTAATAACCCGAAAATTTTTCCATTTGTGCCACAATGCCAAACCAACTGATAATTTGTGGGTCCAAGCGTATAAGCGTTCTGCGTATGGTAGGGACCATAAATTCTGAAATAGAAAAATGCAGAAGACATTTTTGATTTTGAAAAAATACACTTTTCACTTTTTTGTCACTGACTAAGAAATCAGTTAAAGGAGACGGTTTGCATCACACTTGTCGTGAGGTAAAATTGATACCCAGAAAACTCTTGATTTTCTATTAAGGATTCTAAGAAATGAAAAGTTATGCATTGGTATTGCCATTTTAATTGTTTAGCAGTTTTAAACATAACATCAAACAATCTTTTATATGATTATTCTTCAGATGGTTGGAGGATCTCCTCGATCGCATGTCTCGTCAAGTCCGCATAAAACTGAAGTCAGCAAAAATGTCTCATCAGGAAACAGAAGAAAAAATCAAGAGACTGTTAAGCCGCATGGAAGAGCTACAGAATTCTCAGAAACGTATATTTGATGAACTTAGTGAGCATCAGTTGAAAATATTTGAAGACATCCTCGAGAAGCTAGCTTTGCACTTTAAATCGGAGGGAACTATCTCGAGTTTCTGCGACTGGTCTGAAGAAGAGGTCCCCAAACCCCTTGGGACATGGCGGGAAACAAAGAACGAGGTGTTAAAGTGCGTCTCAGAGAGAACACACCAATTTGTTCAGCACTGGGAAAACGAAGAGAACGAATTCGACAGAGCTCGAGTGTCATTGATCCAACATTGTTGCAAAAAGTATGATATAATGGAGGAAGAAATGCGCGAAGTAGCAGAAGATTTTTTTATCGTCGACGAGGTGGAGGGCGATCTTCCACAGGATGAAGGTGGACAAAATTTGAAACGATCTAGAGTAAGAGAAAGATTACAAACAAGTACTGCTCCGCCATGGCTTCGGCAAGGATTGGCATCAGTGGTGATAGGGTCTCCACTTAGTATCCTCGGAACCAAACTTAAAAGGAAGCTCCACTACAAAACCAAACTGGACACGTTCCGCGATGATCCATGTGCCTACATGTCAAAGCGATCACAGAAATGCCTCAAAGTTATTTCTACTAGAGACCGCTTGCTTCCGTTCATCAACGAACAACTAGAAGACGCCGTACTGTACCTAAGACGGATCAAGGAGAAGATTCCAAAGCTGAGAGAAGGTGACGAGCTGATCTATCAACGGCTACTTGAAGACGAGAGAGGCAGTACTGAGATTCGGAAGATCTACGAGCCTTTAAACAACGAGCTGGAATCTCTGAGACGCGAAATAACCGTGTACACTCTGCGAGAGATCAAGCAGTCTGATTTCGCAAGAGAAGAGTTAGAGTGCGATTTTGGAAATTTAGATTCTGTCATTGGACGAGGCAGCTTCTCAACAGTGTTTAGAGGCGTTCTTCATCGCAAAGGATCGCCAGAGATCATGGTGGCTATCAAGATGTACAGTGACTTGCTTACCACTAACAATGTGTGGCATTTTGTTGACGAGGAACGTGCTTTAAGGTATGAATATCGAAAGACCATTTTCTTTCATACAGTTGTGTTCATTTGACAGATCGACTGTAATTCGTAGTGTCCTGCATCAGATTTTGCATGGTGCCTAGAGTCGGAAATACTATAGTTTGCTACACATGCGATTGAAAAACGATTGTGTCCTTGCTGCTTATAAGTTTAATGAGAAATGAGCCTCTTATCTTTGTCTTAGAAAACTGCGCCATCCAAACATTGTGGGTTTTTACGGAACCAATTTGCACCACGGCCCCAACGGCACCAAAGTGATGATCGTCCTCGAGCTTTGCAGTTGTTCTCTCAGATATCGAGTACATACCCATCCCGAGGATTCACCCGCTCGATCGTCGAACGACACAGTCAAGAAGAAAGTGTTATCATGGGCACAACATATCCTAGAGGCTTTGCATTATATCCACTCAGAAGGATTCGTTCACCGAGATTTAAAACTGGAAAATCTACTGGTAAATGTGTATTGAAGTTGAATTTTGATTTCTTAAGTTCTCTGTTCAGTCGTCAGTTACTTTTTTCAAACGACATGTATAGGGCGATTTCCCATCCTCAGGGAAGCGTAGCCTTTTGCACCCTCCCCCGCTCTTTTTTTCAAAAATATTCCAGCCTTCAGACGTACTACCTGCCGTACTCTTTACTTGTTTAAGAGTGGATTTGGGGGTGGGGGGAGGAGGGAGGGGAGGAAGGGCTTTAGGTTTCTTGTGGCTGCACATTATGTCTTGGTGATGAAAATTGTATGCTTTATATAATGGAAATCAACCACCCGTTTCCATGTTATTTTGCGTGAGATCTCAAGCAGAAGATTGCATCTCATGCAGAAAAAATTCTGCAGCTTTATTTTGAATCAATAGCAGACATTTTTGGTTGACAATGATAAACAAGGAGTCGTTACCTTTGTCGCGGTACCCGGTGTTCATTACGATGAAACGCGATCTTGCAATCAACCAAAAAAGCACCAACATGACATTAGCCATTTACGGTTTCTCTTGTTCACTACGATTCTTTGTGAACGAGTTTCAATTTTTTCATTATAGCTGACACACGGCGAGAAAGTGAAACTTGCAGATGTGGGAGTAGCTAAACATGAAAAAGAAATAACAGGTACTATGGTCGGCACCTCTCTGTACCTGGCCCCTGAAGTGTTTGAGGGTCGAATCTACAACAGCAAAGCTGACATGTATAGTTTTGGCTTTGTACTTTGGGAAATATGGTATGGTGAGCAAGCCTTTCAAACAGCGATGACAACCTGCGGAGTGTATCAGCTCGAAAAGATGAGACAGGGCTGTCGACCTGCTCACATCGAAGGCACCAATCATCCATGGGAAATATGGAAGCATGTCATGACTAATTGCTGGAATGAAGATCCACGTGTCAGGCTGACAGCAAAAAAAGCACTGGAAAGTTTTAAGGAGTTGCAGGAGGCTGAGATTCAACCCAAACGGAAACCAGTACCGCTACCGAGATCACGTTCGAGGCCACTTTCACAAAGCAAAACGCCTCCTCCAACAAAACCTAAGCCAGCTAGAAGACCAAATAAGCAAGGTGGAGTGTCTGTTTCTTACTACAAAAAAGTAGAGGCGGAGAGTGTTCACTTTGAATTAAAAGAAAAGAAGTAACGTAGAGGAGACTGAAAAGAACAATCGCTTTATATCTTAGTATTCGTTCGACTGCATTTAATTTAGGAGGAGGAGGTCCCTGAAATCAGGGATGTAACCAAATTTTACTCAAAGCCTCTAACGAGCTCCAGTGTACACTAATCGTGTTTTTTAATGGTAGTTCGTAAACGGCGTGGATTACAGATAGTTCCCAAAGGTAAATTTATTTCTTACTCGACAACCGTTTCTCCAATTGATTGAAGAGAAGCTACACAATTTTTTTTTATTTCACTATGACACCATGTTGCCTTTTTAGGGCATCGGGACGGTCAAAATATGCCAAAGAATAACTCAATAGATCAGGCCAAAAATACGGCCGGAGAGCGGGGCAAAAAAATGGCTTCTGTGAACGATCAAACTTTGATATTTTTTCTCCGTTTTTTTAAGCTCGTCTTCTTAGGAAAATAACTTTTCAGTGCAGCAGATGTTATCTGACTGTGAATACATGAAACTCATAAATGAAATGCAAACTATGTGAACTATATAAACTGTGAAATGCGAAGATCGCTTTCATATCTACAGATGTTATCGTTGGTCATGGTTTCGTTTGTATTGTTTCCGTCTTTCACTCATGCCTTCGGGGCTCGGAAAAAATACAGCGCAACTCGCAAAATATCCGCACCTATTATATATTTTAATGATAAAATAAGGTGTATTATCCCTAAGTAAATCAAGTTAGTCTAACTTGCCGTCATCGATCAGTGCAACGTCTTTGACTGTACAAGGAATGAATCATAAACGTGTTATATCTAAGAAATAGTCCGTATACTGCAATACGACTGAAATTAACTCATGATAGGGCGAAAGGGCATCAGAGCCAATGCAGCAAGGAACCCCTGTAGCTAGACTTCGTAGGGAGTCCTGGAATAAAGTTCACAATTCACTGCAATGTATCTACTAAAATATCGGTCTTAAATTTTTAGTCATTCGGCTTGGAACAAGAGTATTGAAGGACGAGCCTATTTTAAATAAGTTTTTTTGGTTTGAAGCAGGTTTAACTAGTGTTATTGAGTGACATTCACGCTCCAGCTATATCATTACATTAAGTGGCTATAGCGAGCAATGAGTTGCTGAAATCCATTAATAAAACGTTAAAACCAACAATGATAATTTATGTTCATCCCGAACAGAAAATCTCTCTCCCCTCCTGCATCCTGCATTGTCAATGATTTCCTATTACCCATGAAGTGATTCAATTTCTACGTTTAACTGTTTTAATTATTGAAGATGTGGGTCCTCAAGTTTTCCTTGCACTTTTTGAGCACCATTACTAGTCTTTCTTCGCCATCTTTTTTGAGGAGAGATGTACCGTAGAACTTCACAATGTGAGGATGGTCCAACCTCCTGAGAAAGAAATCAACTACACACAGTCAAGCATTACTAAGTCAGATTTTTGTCTCAGTATAAACGCAGTACAGGAATGATCGAATAAAACAATGAAGTTTAATCATTATTATACTTATCATTATTATTATTATTATTATTATTAAATAGTTATAGAAAGATGATTTTAAAGTCAAGAACAAAAAATCGCTCTCAAAGTCCAAGGAGACACATGGGTGAAATAGATGTGGAAAGTCGCATATATATTACCAAAGAATAGTAATAGTACAACATTCGGGTAAAAGTACGGTTCTAGTAGGTTTTTCCTCAGAACAAAATTTAACTATATTTCTTTTCACAAGAAACACTACCAAATCCTTTTTAATGTTAATTTTTGAAAATCTTCCTTTTTCTGATAGCCCACCACTGACCTTGTGAATTGGGTGTATTCCTGGCCACGCAAAATTAATTCACTGTTAGAATTTACATATAATTTTAAAACTCGTTTTGGGCAGGTTTTTAGCAGTTCCAAGGAGTGGCTGGTATGACTCCTGTATCTCTTTGTATGACCGCGTCTCATGCCTGAGTTGATTATACAACATCTTGTCAGCATGTATTAGCTCTGGAATACGAGCCTCAATATGCTTCAGACACAATTTTGCCTCGCTTAGTTGACTCTTTACGAACACCTTGAGAATGGACTCATTTGTGACATTGTTTAGGTAGTCTACTGACCTCTCAGCCATGAGAGAGCATCTGTCTTTTTCGTACCTTCTAAGTCTCCTTGAATCTTCAACTTTGTTTTTGATCGAGATTATGCCGACTATAGGGCTGCCTCATCTGACTTGAGAAATATGGAGAGCTTCTGAACTGCCTCGTCGTTTTTAGCTTTCAGATGTTTTCGGAGGTCTTCTACCACTTAACTTTGTCCGCTTTCAATGGCTGACAGACGGTTATTGATTCTCTCCATTTTCTTAGCGACCTTGTCACGATCTATTTCGGCATTCATAACAAAGGCCTTTGCTTGATAAACTATCCGTGAAAGGAGGTAATCAAGCCATCTAAAATATGAATAGATATATTCAATAACTGACATGGTTGTTACCTCAAAAATCATTACCGTTTCACGATTCTTGGCTCACTCTTACCACTCACTCTTATGGCACGGAACTAGGGATAAAGATTGGACGTTTGCTTGCTTTCTTCAGAACGGACAAGGACAAAGGGGATCCTTCTTCCGTAGAATGAAGTATCAAAGCATCCAAGCTTTAAAGTATGCTAAATGCATTTCCTATTATTGAGTCTCTAATGTTATCTCCGAAAATCGTTTCTAAAAAGATAACAGTAAAGGGAGAGAGAGAGAAAGAGAGAGGGGGAAAGATCTAGCAAACAAATGAACCAAAACAACGGAGCGCTCTAAGATTCAGAGGACAAGAAAGTGGTTAATTTGCGCTGTAGAATTTGATGGGAGCTCCTGCAATAAATTTGGGCGTAGCTTATAATTTCTTGTTAATTTAATTTAGCACTCAGTTTCTTGAATTTTTCGGTCATGTCTATTCTGCAGAATTTATGAAAGTGTCTCATGTTTTAAATTAAGGTTAAAAAACCCCCATATACAAATTGTTCAACCTGTTGACTGGTATAGAATTTAAACTACTTTTAATCATTTAACTGTAAAAGCCAGAAAGGCACTCGATGAATTATCTATTAGACAAGTCTCGCTCCAAATTTAGATAGGCTTTTTTGTCCTCATTTTTACTTTACATCTTATTAGCAACCATTGCAGATGTTTTGTTGTTCTAACCACAATTTATTTAGAAGTAAGCCAAGAGAAAAGCTCAGTGGGAAAATGCATAAAAAATTGTTTATATCTGATGACCCGTGCATCCCATACCAAGACCAGATTTCAAAACGCCTCTCCTTCAACGCGGTACAAAACCCTAGTATGAAGGACACAGGCCTATCAAAAGTTGGGAAAGGTTTAGTCGATAGGTAAATTTATGGTGATGCTGATTTCTGAAGTGTCTTAGGGAATGAGTTGGGGCATTTATCACAATCATTTCGCCCAATGATAAAGTTTTCAGTCAATTCTTACCTCCAATAACTTTCCAGTCTGGCCTCTATGCTCTTCATGACCGTGGATCTTATACCATTCATCAAGGAGAGGAAGTCATTTGTGATGATTCCCAATTTCTGTGCGTCAATCGCCTTTTTTGCTGACATGTAGATGATCTGTGACTCTGGAACAAGACCGGGCCAACACTTTTCCAATTTCCTGATTACGTATTTCTTTACTTCTTCGATCTCTTTCTGTGGTAGTTGGTCCCACTTGTTACACACGAACAGTGCGCTCTTCGATGAAAATTCTCCCTTTTCATTAAGTGTCACTTTTCTCACTTCTTTAAGCAACTTTTCGAGCTGTAAAATAAATAAGAGTTTAATCTTATTCAGTATCAATGTAATGGTTTGAAAGCTTCTAAAGGACATTGGGTCAAACTCTGACTTATCAAAACCCTTTCAACGGGGCTCCTCACGGTTTACTAAACTGTTGCCATTTGGGAATGGTGGTTATTCTTAACACTGACCCTGTCTTTCTGGACTCCTCCGGCGTTGTCAGTTTTGATGACATAAACAAATGCGAAAGCTTCAGGTAAATACTTCACGACCTCTTCATCCATGAGTTCGGATTTTCTAATTCCAGGACTGTCGACAATAACAACGCCATTCTGAAAGGACAAATCAAATGAAGGTTTTATCATTATTGTAATTTTTATTATTTGACTCTTTGACCACTATGGCGTTCTGACAACGTTAAGGCTGTGATCCTTAATCTGGTTATAAGAAGTACAACCCTGTCTTTAAAAAAGAGTGGCTTCGATAATGTATAATTTCTAAGAAAGTTAATGCTCTTTTCATATGAATTTGAGTATCCTCAGTTTAACCATCGACTATCCTTATTCGAGGTATATAATACAAAATCTGGTTCTTAGTTTTGATTAATGGAAAATTCTATAATTCAATCCTTAGGAAAAGGATTTTCATTGTTCTCCTCCCTAGAGTTAAACCAGTCGATGGGCAAGGACACATGCTTTTAAAAATTTTGCACTGAATTTATCTATTGTGAGCTATGAGCCATGTTCTAAGCATTTGCTGTGCGATTATTTGTCCACTATGCGTAACAAATGATTTTAGTCCCACACCATTTTAGATACTAAAATTCTGTCTGCCGTTTTGATTGACCTTCTGATCCTAATCTTATCCATCTAAACTAAAAAAATAGGTATTGAAAATAATTATTCTATTTCTTAGTTAATTGGAAAAGTCGAAATAAACACTGTGTAGCTACCTGCAAGAGTTGATGAGTTCTTCAAGTTCTGGTTAAGTCAGTCAATGGGCAAGGACACATGTTTTTCAAAACTTAGCATTATATTCGTCTATTATGAAGCATAAGCGAAGCATTTGTTGCGATATTATTTGTCCGTCAAGCATAACAAATTATTTTAGTCTAAAATTCTGTTTGTCCTTTGATTGACCTTCTGATCTTAATCTTGTCCATCTAAACTAAAAATAGGAATTGAAAATATTTATCCCATCTCTTAGTCTATTTGCAAAGTTTGAATGAACACTGTGTGACTACCTGCAGGAGTTGATGAGGCCAGAAGAGTTCGATCTTTTTTATTAACGGAACCTTTTTCTCGATCTGTATCCTTCACGTGGACAAATGGAGAGAGCTGCTGGAGATAACTTTCATCAGAGGCTTCTGTTGGTTGCTCCAGGAAATATTCCCAAGTTTCATGCCCTGTTTTAGGATCCTTGTCTTTGAAATGGGCCACTATTTTACGCTTCACCCCATATCGCAATCACAATTTGTGGAAGTTGTACTGAGTACTGAGTACGGAAGAAGTTCTTCTCCCAGAATTAGATTTATTAAGCTGCTCTTCCCAGAGCCAGTCTCGCCTGATGCAGTGATATCAAAAATAATTATTACGTTGTACTATCTTCCACCTAACCGAGCGTAGGTGCTCTACTGAAAAACATTGGCCCTCGATTTTGGCAAACGAACCGAGCGCTGCTGGTTTGTATAAAAACAACAAAGGGCCAACATTCCTCAGCAAGCCTCAAACAGTAAATGGTAAATAGTACGAATTATGGCACGCGAGTCATGTTTGTTTACTTTTCTTTTTTTAAGTCACTTCCGATAAATTGAATCCAATGAGATTCTGTCGTAACGTGTGTTTGTGGTTTCTTTGCAAAGAATGCGGGTATTTAAATGTAATTAATGTTGTTTTTGTTTTTTCTTTCTCTCTTTCTTTCTTTTATTTTTTTGGCAGTTTCAGGCGCAAAGTTTAATCCCAACCAAATAAGAACCATTCAGAACCCCCGAATTTTCAAATTGTCTGATCGGGTGTTTACCAGCCGATCCAAAATAATAAAGAAGGAAAATATGTCATTATATAGTAGTATCACCATATGCCGGTCATTTACCGGCTACTAGAAGGATATATTCTTTCCTCTTTATATCTATTTCATGTTTACGTATCAGCTAATCAAGGTTGCCTATTTGGCGCTTAAGCAGCGAGCGAATTTTGGCATCCATTTCAGTCAAACATTCCACGCATTCAGCGTAAAGACCAGATAAGATTTTCTTCTTTCTTATGTCGTGATCTCTTGCTTCTGACAGAATAGAGAATGCCTAGAGAGGAAAAAAGTTATGTTTAAAAATAGCACTTGATTAAGCTGAAAATTGATGATTATTTTACAGATGATAAATTAAGTTTTAAGAAAATGTCAAAAATCATTCCATATCGAAATCTTAAGATCTTATATACAGAATTTTGATCATGTATACACATACGCTTTCTCCTTACTTTTAAATCATTAGGCTGAAAGTCGCTTTGTCGCAAGTCAATAGTAATAATATACTGCAAGCAGATCGAATTGAGCGGACAGTGATGAGAGCAATACAGCAAATATATAGTTAACAGGAGGATTGAAAAAGGTTACATTCTCCAAGAAGAAACCTTGCATTATCGGAGTGGAAAGCTAGAGTCGTATGATTGGAAATTCCTTTAGAGGCTATAGATATTGTATTTGAGCGGTCATTCGATAGATGTACGAATTCTAACCGACAAGTAACTTCATAGTTTTTAAAGGAGAAGAACCCCTTGCTTGCCCTGCCAATAGAGCACTTTGCTCTTTACATTTGATCATTAACCAGGTTAGAGGCGTCACACATGCATTTTCTGCCACTTATTATTGAATTTAAACGCTACACATTTGGCATAACAAATAAAGGCACGGATATCATCATGATTGAATTCCGCGTTACCGCTAATGTCTTATACTGGTAGACAGTTTCCTCGATAAAGGTCTCAGTTGTTGTCGGCTGGGCGGTAAGGATAATTCCCTCCCCACCTGTATAAGAAGAAATGGTTTCTATATTCAGAGAAGACCGTCTTGAACGCAGGGCTTGGCACCAAAATGGGCGTAAATCTGTCTGGCGAGTATTAAGGTCAAAATATTCAAGCATCCTGAGTCACTCCCCGAAAGCAAAATTGCGCTTTTAACCAGAGGAACGAATTCTTACCTGACCTGCAGCCTAGTTCGGCTTAGTTTGCGACTGGCTTAATGTAGTGATAACCTGAGTTTTCAACTCGTCTCATGTTTTAAACCCTTTCGACGAAATATCAAGGGCCTCCATGATTTTAACCATTTCATACAGATCATCGATTTCATCGATAGTTTTCGTTGAGCTACAAGCCATAGTGTCAAGTTTTCAGTGGCTGGGAACTCTAAGAACACATCAAAGCGGCGAAAAAGACTTGAAGAGCTTCAGTTGATCGTGAGGAGCATTTCATAAATAGATGCTTATTATTTATTGCCAAGAGTAAACAAAGCATGACGTTGCACCTCTGAGAAAGTTTAACTCTATCAGTGGTTAATGTATCTTTCTATTTTGATTTGTTTATACATCTCTCTATTTCTTTTCTATGAATTAGTATGATTCTTCTCAGGGCAAAATAGATGAAAATTTGGAGATGTATTTTTCATTCAGTTCCAGACGTTAAACGATTAGTATAGCAAACGCACCTAACAGGGAGCGACTTCTCCTAAACTCTCTTGCACTCCTGTTGCCAAATCGATGGCAACAAATTCAAAAGAAATCAATTCAGTAAAATAAACCGTGCTCAAAACCTTAGCATGCAGATTTTAAAGATAAATTTATAAATGCTAGAATCTTTAATTGGGCTTCGATATTTCTGTTCCGTGTATGTAAATAAGGTCACTCCTGGTTACGCTGTGGACTAAGACGCGACGCAATTCCGGGAAATGAAGTGCGACCTGGAGTTGTAACTTTGTAGGGAAGAGAGAGTCAATTTTGTTCTATCTCTGTCTAAGAAGATATCATGAATTGATTTTCTTTTACATGCACGAAAAGATATTCTCATGTAACAGCGAAATTATCAAGATAATTGTTGTGTTTGTGCCCGGGTTCTTGTTACTCATTTGACGTACAAAACTAGACAGTGGGGAGGGACAGGGAGCGGGAATCCGGGAGGAGAGGACGGGAAGCGGGAGTCCGGGAGGAGAGGGCGGGAAGCGGGAGCAGAAATTAACAAGGCGTTCGTTTATTGATTATTATTGCTCATCGTTAGTTAAAAACCAGTACCCAGCAAACAATCCGGGCAATAGACAGTTTTGTCTATGACATGACGTCACGAACGTGACGTATAATTTCGGTTCGGGAAAATGAGCCAAAATTGAGGCAAACGACGGTAAACTACTTTGCGTTGAGACATCATTGGTCGATTGAAGTGTGTACACGTGAGCACGGTGAGTCAGTAAAGCAATACGCCAGAATCGTATGGGCTTCTCTTACCTCCTCTCTTGAAGTTGCCAGCTATGACTGCTTTCCCTATCGTTTTTCCGTAACGTTTCAACCTCCTCTGTTTAGCGTAAAAAATTAAAAGAAAAGTAGTTTTCGACTCATGTTTTTTAAAACTTTTTCGTTTTTGGCTATTCATGTTTCAAGATTCTCCTCTGGCTGGAAATACACGACGTCTTTTTCTAATTTTTCTGTTATTTAATTCGGTAACCTCTGCTGTAACTGCATGTAATGTGGATGTCTTCAAGAAAACTTGAGATAATACCTGGATTTCATTTCCACATCATAGATATCAATTCCAAACATCAATCAAGTTTTCTCTTTAGGTTTAATTTGAGTTGATGTTATTAGCGGCTATATTAAATAGGTTGAAAAGTTTTAGATGGTATTTTCTCATGTTTGCCTTTAATTGGTCAGGGAAATGGAAAATTTGTGGCATATACACCACGTTTGAAATGCTAAGTTCATAATAAGCTGACAGGATTTAGGAGGGTGTATGTGGGAATAGGCTCTCTTGTCTGTATCTTTGATATGCTAATTGCTCCTGTTGCCAATGTTTTGATGAGGTTGGGCTGTTAGGGAAAAGTAACTGAAGATTTTAGTAAGCAGTGACTTTTTTCAAACCTGGAAACTGTCATCTTGAAAGCCATATTTGTGCCTAGTAATTCATTCTTATTCTGATGAACTATTTTTGAGAAGGATACAATATTTTATCACATAAATTTGATGCATACAGGCTGTGCACAAAACTTTAATTTGACTTTGATGTTATAGAGAATACCAATCCCTACACAAAAAAAATGTTAGAAGGATCAGAGGAAAAAATAATGTGCCATACATCTGGAAGATTTCATGTAATTATTTTAATTACATGAAACTTAACTGATACTAGGAGATCTAAAAATATTCAAAAGAAAAGAAAAATAAGAATTCAGCATAGACCGGATAAACAAGGTTTTTAGAAGAAAAAATGTTTACTAATGAAAAAGCTGAGCAAACTTTTTTACAACACCTGATTGTACCCGTATGGCACCTAGTGAAGTCATTCGAAGTAGTCATAATCCAGGTTTTATATGTTGAAAACACATGCACAGGCAGATTTCTGTTGAACTTGTAGCTCAAGCCTGTGATGACTTCAAAATTTTGACACATACCTCTAAAGGAGAACAAATAAATTTCAAGTTTCTATTTATTCAGTTTACATGTTGGTTAGTGAGATAAAATTGAGTCAGACACTTACATTGTATACAATGATAGGTTCAAGAAATTTTTACGACTAATTTTTAAGGTTAACCTACCTGGAACAATGACCTTCATGAAATAATTAGACTAGGTTTATACTGATGATGCGAGGAGAGGGCAGGCTTTTCTTTCTTCATTTAAAGATATATACCGAAGTTATGGTCTTTCCACAAGCTCAGTGGAAAGTGAGAGTGAATGAGACTGATGTTATTTTGATAATCATCCAAAGATATGGTCTGCACAACTCTCTTATTTTAATTTTTTAATCTTTAAGGCTAAGGCATTTATATTCTTGCTTTATGCATAATGTAGACACCAATTAATTTAACTTTCACGTGTCAAAATACAAACAATGTTCTCTTCATCTATGTGCCCTAAACATTACAGGGGAGGAGGCAGGTCAGAGTAAAAACATGAATTGAAACAATTGCGAACTGAATACCCAGTTTTCTGGGAATTCCTAGTGATTCTCAAAAATTCCCAAAAGGACTCTTGGATTCCATGATCAAAAAATATTTTTATTGTGATGCAAATTAATGTCTCATGTTCACTGATGTGCCAAAATCATCAAACATTCATTAGCTGTTCCATGGTACACAACTTCCACAATAATTAACAATAATTACATTGTTATCTACACTTAAAGAACTTTGTTAGTTATGAATATAAGTTACTTCCCTAACCTACATTACTGGTTGCCTTTGTTAGAAAACCTTGGAACAGTCAAGCTCAGTTGCCTCAAACACTGTCAGAGACTTTTTGTTGACAATATTTTTAGTAGAAATTTCATGCCTTAGACAAACAAATTCAACACCTAACTAATCTTTGTTTTTTCATGATTGTTGTTGCTGTTTTTTTTTCCAGTTTTTTGCTCTGTTTTTGTGACCAATTGCTGTAATTTGTTTTGCTGTTTTTTTTGTTACAAAACATTTTTTTAAGAGTTCCAAGTTGTAAGAGTTCAGTTGTGCTTGGAATTTTAGAGACTTAAAACTTTGGCTCAATAAAAGGTATGCTATACAAAACTTACCAAGAGATATACATACATGTATATGTTTATAACTTAAAGATCATGAAATTTATTATTCAAACTAAGTTTTAGTAAATCTTTACATTAATATGGATTTTCTCATGAACCAGCTGTCAGTTATGTTAAATGGAAATTGCCATTTAATCCAATTTGTACTCATAGCACCGATTTGCTTTCTAAGCTCAAAGGACTCTTGGATTCCATGATCAAAAGATATTTTTATTGTGATGCAAATTAATGTCTCATGTTCACTGATGTGCCAAAATCATCAAACATTCATTAGCTGTTCCTTGGTGCACAACTTCCACAATAATTAACAACAATTAAATTGTTATCTACACTTAATGAACTTTGTTAGTTATGAACATAAGTTACTTCCGTAGTAAAGTAAATGGTTTGAACCCAGGAGTATCAGTAGTTCGTGTAGTGTGATCGTCCGGGTGAGTGTAGTTCTGAAAAGAACTGTTATTGGTTTCGACTATCTGTGCGATAGTTATCTTCAGAGTCAAGTGAGGAGTAGTTGTCAGTCGATGATGTTATAAAGTCTGGTCTGTTGAACGTGATTGGCCTGTTTAGCCGTGATGTGATTGGCTGGAAGACTCGTGTAGAGTTTTTTAACAGTCATTGGTCGGTTTCGATCCGTCTGTTGTTTGTCGGTCTGTTTGTCGGTTTGTTCACGTCGTTAATGAGTCGTTTGTAAGGTGCTGGTAATTGTTGACATCTGTTGAGAGGCGTCTGTTCTAAGTAAGTGAACCAGCTTTCCAGAGTCAGTCGTTGAAAATAGTTGGTACTGTAGGTTAAGCATTTAGCAGAGTCCCAGTCGATTCTGTGATTAGTTTGTCGGTGATGTTCAGAAATGTGATTGTCTACATCGCTATTTCTAGTTGCTCGTTTGTGTTCAGTTAGTCGCGTGTTAAGGTTTCTACCAGTCTCACCAATGTAGGAGGCCTGGCAGTCGGAGCATTCGATCTTATAAATCGCTCCCTGTCTGTTGTTGGGTTCGTCTTTGTCTTTAACGTTGGTCAGAAAATGTCGTAAAGTAGTAATAGGCCTGTGAGCTACGCGAATGTTGTAAGGTTGTAGGATCCGCGCGGTAGCCTCAGAAGTGCCTTTGATGTAGGGTATAGCAGCTGTAGTCGTGATAGATGTGGAGTCCCTGTTGGTTTCTGTAGTGTCGGTCACCCTGTGAGTGTTTCGTCTAATGAAGTCAGTGTTGTAGTTGTAGTTGTAGACTCAACCACTACAATAACAAATTACAACAACTACTTGACAAACTGAAACAGCAGTTACCGACTACCTTACTCGACACAGTCACAGCTATTGCCGACAGAAGAGCCGACAAAACGAGTTACCAAGCTCGTGACAAACATCATCAAAAACTGACGCGACTTCAACATAACAAAGACAAAAGACGACAAAGAACCGACGACAACTGGGTCAGGAACATCTCTTCCCGTCCCTTAGACAAGACTGAGACTCAAGTACTATCTTACGGACTGAAACACTCAGTGACGCCTAAACGTATACCGACCGAGTCTATTGTATCTAGTGTTGAGGCGGCTCTTTCTCGTCAACGAGACTTATCAGAACCTGCCAAGGACAACATCAGAAGTAGAATTGCTTCCACGATACAATCAGCCTCTATAACTGACAGCAACTTAACCAAAGACGAACAACAAGCACTGAAACGACTGAAAAACGACAAGAACATTGTTATACTACCAGCCGACAAAGGACGTGTTACTGTTGTTATGGACAAGACTGACTACTATGACAAAATGAACGCACTTGTTAACGACAAACAAACTTACGAATTACTTAAACGTGACCCGACGCCAGCACTACAACGCAAACTCAACAACAAACTACTTACGCTCAAAAAGACTGAAGCCTTTGACACTCAACGCTACTACCGGCTGAGGTGCTCTGTACCACAACCACCTAAACTTTACGGACTACCGAAACTACACAAACCTGGGATACCTATGCGACCTATAGTCTCATTCTGTGGGTCCCCGACGTACCAACTGTCGAAATACTTTACGACGATACTGCAACCACTGACTGACAGTGGTTGCAGAACTACACTCACCCGGACGATCACACCACACGAATAAGTTACTTCCCTAACCTACATTACTGGTTGCCTTTGTCAGAAAACCTTGGAACAGTCAAGCTCAGTTGCCTCAAACACTGTCAGAGACTTTTTGTTGACATGATTTTTAGTTGAAATTTCATGCCTTAGATAGACAAATTCAACCCCTGATTAATCTTTCTTTTTTCATGATTGTTGTTGCTGTTTTTTTTTTCAGTTTTTTGCTCTGTTTTTGTGACTAATTGCTGTAATTTGTTTTGCTGTTTTTATTCTTACAAAACATTTTTGTAAGAGTTCCAATACTTGTGGATCATCCACACACTTTGCAAATATTTGGCATGCAGACAAGACAGAGGTAGTCAATATTCCCTTTGAGAAAAAACACCTTTTAAATGACGTCTTCAATTTACTTTATTTGAAACTCTGATCTGAAAATATTTGTTAACAAGACTTGTTAGTAGTGAGAAGTACCAACCAAGTTTCCTTTCATAACTTAATTTCTTAAATGTCCC